GCACTGGCCAATCACAGCCATGCCATTAGTAGGCATGGCTGTGATGGCTTCTAAGGGCACACGAGTCAAACGCTTGTTGATTGGCTGCCCTGCAGCTTTTCAAAATGCGCCATTAAATCGCCAAACACCTAACTCGAACCCGAACTGTTACTAAAATGTCCGGGTTTTGGTTCGGGGTCCAAAAATCTAATGTTCGGTACGAACCAACTCTATTTGTGTATATCCACATTTCTCCCCCACACATTCTTGCTATTCCTTACTTCCTTTTCACTGTTACAATAAGAATTAAACACAAAATGGAGAAATAAAGTAAACAGAGTGCAGGTCAGGAGTCCGGATACAAGTCAAGGGCTTGTGAGCTGCACTGCTGTAACCACATAATAGGGAGCGCCAACAAGGGGGTAACCCTTCAAAATATGCTGGAAATAGAAGAAAGTTATGTATTGAACCCACAAGGGGAAACTAACATCAGAAGAGCTCCACAGGTATAAGAAATAAATCTATTGATAAAAAGGGATATGCAAACAAAAAGTATAACTTGAAAAAAGGGAGATCTACTAAACAGTGCCCAGGGGATCCATTATCTGGAGTACTAATTAGCATCTAAGCTCCAGTTCCCCTAGTGTCCGACTGATGGGAAGGTAGTGTAAACAAGGTTAGGGAGAGAGAAAAGGCACAGGGTCCACAGAGAACAAGGTACCGGGTAATCTGGTCTACCTGAACCAACTCTTCCTACTAAAGTTATAAATAACTAACCTCGTTTACACTACCTTCCCGTCAGTCATTCGGGAACAGTAGGTGAAGAGCGCTCTGCCCAAAGAACAATCTAAAAGGATGAGAGACAAATACAGAGAGAAGTGTGGAAATCAAATGATATGTTTGTACCTGTAAGGATGGGAGGGCTGTTTGGGAGAAGGAAGCACAATAGGAGGAAAACTGCAGAGGAAGGTGGTAGAGGATGAGGAGATAAGGGCTCATATAGATGTGTGATTTCAAGGATTTTTTAAAGAACTGCAGAGATCCAGAGAGTTGAATATGGTGTAGACGGGCATATGTGTGTAATACTGTGTTATGGAGGGTTACAACTACAATTACCAATGTCTCCCTGCCCTCCATTTGCCTATTTTCTATCATAAATATGTTATTCTACCCACTAACCATCATATTGTAAACTTGAAATGTATTTTCCAGTAACATTAAATCACGTTATGCAGCGGTCTAATTGTGCATCTTTTTCTCAGACACGCAGCAATGCTAATCAGGTAATGGGGTCAAATTATGATAGGCAGTTAGAATTAATGAGTGTTCCTTCACAGCTGACAGTTTAAGTCTGGAGCAGGATCGTGTAACTCAAATCCTCCTGTGGGTGCCTGTTCTCTTACTTTGCAGATAGTATATGGGTCTGACAGACAGGGAGGGTACTGGTGTCATAAGGTGTGACATTATATATCCCAGCAACATTTATCATTCTGACCTGCACATCATAAGAACATTCACAGAGGTATGTGATTTCTTAGGACATGTAGACTCTGTTTCCCACAACTCCACTACGACCAGTTATTACCTCCATATGTTATGTTTATCATCTTCCCCTGTAGCTACTTCCAAATGCCTCTAGGGGCAGAAGTTCACTAGAAAAGATCTCATTAAGCCTGTTCAAACCAGAAAAGCATTGCACAACTGCTACATGCTGTTTCTCTCCACTGTAACATACCTCCCAAGTGTCCCTAATTAGGAGGTATAGTCCCTATTTCTGGTCCAAATCCCTCAGTCACTCATTTCTATCGTAATGTACCTCTTTTCTAGGAGTTCCATATTGTTGGTGTGTCTGAGTGTATAACAAAGCTTAACAAGAAAAATATCTACAATAAAGTGTATTTAACCCCTTAAGGACACATGACATGTGTAACATGTCATGACTCCCTTTTATCCCTTAAGTCCTTAAGGGGTTAAACTACTACAATAAATGTGTTTAGAAATCATTTTGCTTAAAAAAAGATACATTGCTATTGTTCTAAATTACACTTGCATCAATTGTTATTGTCCATTGTACAGCGCTACAGAATTTGCTGGTGCTATATAAATAATAAAATAATAATAATAATTAGTAAGTCAACTGTAATTTACCAGTAAACCCTGCCCGTGGCCAAACCTCCACTCGCATCACTAAAATTAAATTGTCCCTCTAGGTCTATTTGAAATGCTGGGAGGTATGCTATAATCCTAACCAACCCTGTACACAGGGCTGGCGCTTCCTATAAGGCGAACTAGGCAGCCGCCTAGGGCGCTGTAACGAATGCCCTATTCGTGGATTACAGTGTTATTACTGGTTTGCACTTTTTGTTAAAAAATTCTACACCTATCCCCTATACGAATGTTTAAACGAATAAACTATGCCTAATTTGTTAGTTTACCAAACAGTTTGTCGAACGTTAGACCACCCAAGCAAGTCGTGTGCCGCCAATTGACTAATTTGACTCTATGCTGCCAAACCGCAACCTCAACGTTATAAGTGGTTCACTAGGTGGCCGTCGATTCGTATGCACGAACATGTGGCGGCGGCCATCTTGTTTTGTAGAACGCGTCCAGCGGTGTTTGGTTGTCGAGTGTCTGGAACTAATTTTCCCGAACACCGCTGAGACTTCCAGGATCACTGCATTATAATTCACCCAAAGAAGGCGGCATTCGGTAGAAACTGTTTACAAATAAAGCGGCACACGACCATCAAACGAACAAACTATTATGTGAACTGTTATTCGACATTTTGTTAATGCACGAAAGAGACCAGCCACACTAGCTGAACACATGGAACTATTCTGGACAGGAGCCGGGTGTGCGGCCGGGCAGAAATGGGACTTCCATCTATCTCCCTAATCCCTGAACTGATTTGTATGATTTTTTGTTATGTTGTTGTTGTTCCCCTAACTATGGACTATCAGAATATGTGTGTTTTGTAGTGTTTGGATATGGTTCTGGGGTGTTTCTGAAAATGTGGAAAAATTGCTATTTTGTTCGTTTGGAGATAATTGAGTTCATACAGTAATTAACTCAATTATCTCCTAAGCAGAGGGGAGGAATTTTGTGTAATGAATGGGAGTGTTTGATTATGTGACGCTATGTTTATTCCCTGTGCCCCACAAGGTCCACCTGGGTGGTAACCTTGTGGGGAAAGTTGCATAAAAGGCCAGCTTGGCCCATTAAAGCTTCAGATCTTCTTAACCCTCAACACGTAGCCTTGTCTCATGCTTGTAGGGAACCTGCTTCATAACGAATCACTAGCTCTTGTAAGAGCTCTACTATACCCTCAACTGCAGGTTTGGCTGAGAGAACATCTGGAGAATCTGCAGCACAGCTCATCTCAAGGGAAAAGGACGTCTCCAACGGCATACACCCCTCTGATACTCAGGGTGGCCGTTACAGGCGCCACATAGGAGGGGGTGCCCTGCACCCTCATCACCGGCCCTTCTAATGCTGCAGCCGCCTGAGTGCTCTATAGCGCAGGTACAAGAAACAGAAACTCATGTACCGCGGACCGGAGAGGAGCTCGGCCACGCTACACAGGAAAGGGGAGGTGAGGAGAACACACGGAGGGGTAGTGAGGAGAACACACAAGGGGGGGTGAGGAGAACACACAAGGGGGTGAAGAGAACAACACGGGGGTGAGGAGAACGCACGGGGGGTTGAGGAGTATGTGCGGAGGGTGAGAGACCACTAAGGGAGGGAGGGGGTGGTGGAGAGACCACTTGGAGAGGGGGGGTGAGGAGAGACCACTAGAAAAGGGGGGTGAGGAGAGACCACTAAGGGAGGATGGGGGAGAGCAGAGACCACTAAGGGAGGGGGGGTGGAGGAGAGACCACTAGGGGAGGGAGGTGAGAATAGACCACTAGGGAGGGTGGGTGAGGAGAGACCACTAAGGGAGGGTGGGGGAGAGTAGAGACCACTAAGGGAGGGGTAGAGGAGAGACCACTAGGGGAGGGGGGGTGAGAAGAGACCACTAGGGGAGGGTGGGGGGGAGGGAGAGACCACTAATGGAAGGGGAGGAAGAGGAGAGACCCCTAATGGAAAGGCGGCAGAGGAGAGCAGAGACCACTAAGGGGGAGATGAGAGACCACTAATGGAAAGTTGGGGAGAAAAGGAGAGACCCCTAAGGGAGGGGAGGAGAGTAGAGGCCACTAAGGGACAGGGGAGAAGAAAAGAGACCCCTAAGAGGAGAGCTCTAAGGGACAGAAGGGAGAGCTCTATAGGAGAGGGGCAGGGCAGGGAGCTCTTTCACACTACGCACACACACACACACAATGCATCCCTATACATACACAGACACACACAATGCATCCCTACACACACAGAAACACAAAATGCTTCCCTTAGACACAGAGAAACACACAATGCATCCATTACACATAAAGACAATGCATTCTTTGCACACCTACACAGAAACACACAATGCATCACTTACACACAACCAGAAACACACAATACATCCCTTGTACACAAACACACACTGCTTTCTATCGCTTACACAAAAACACACTGCTTTCACTACACACAAATACATTCCATAAGCACACACATTAGATCCTCTACAATAACACAATCCCTACACACCCCACTCCCTGTGAGTGAACTCATAGAAACATAGAAACATAGAATGTGACGGCAGATAAGAACCATTCGGCCCATCTAGTCTGCCCAATTTTCTAAATACTTTCATTAGTCCCTAGTCTTATCTTATAGTTAGGATAGCCTTATGCCTATCCCATGCATGCTTAAACTCCTTTACTGTGTTAACCTCTACCACTTCATCCACTACCCTCTCAGTAAAGTAATACTTCCTGATATTAACTCATGGGTGAAACATGTAGGTGGACTTATGGGTGGGCCTTATGGGCATACTCACCGTCAGGCCCTGGGGTCCAGACCTTGAGCTGTGTAAGGGAGCTGTTTCACATTCTCCCAGAACATTGAATTTTGTCACCACAGTTACAAACAGCCTCCAGAGATCCTGTTCTACACCAGACCACTGGAGCCAGACTGCAGCTAGAGCCCATCGCCATCCTCATGATGTTGTAAGTAGGCAATCTAGTATATTATTAGTGACTCTAATCTCTAATTTACCTCACATTAAAGGGACAATATAGTCCCCAGAACCACTGCAGCTTAATGTACTGGTTCTGGTGTCTATAGCCTATCCCTGCAGGCTTTTTAATGTAAACACACACTGTGTGCAGCACTGGCGTTAGTTCATATGGCAGATCATATGGGTGGGGCATTGTGATGTCACATGGGGGGGGGGGGGATTGGCAAATTTTTCCTTGCACCAGCCCTGCCTGTACATCTCCCTTTAATCTGTAAACACATTATTTAAGCTGCAGCCGAACAACCCTTTTAGGCTTGTGACATGTGGAGCAATTGCCCCCCCTAATCTCTTAATCATGTCAGATTTGCTGTGATTTTTTACACATTAGAGAATGCGGAGAAAAGCCTTCAGGATTAATATTATAGACTGTAGAAAAGCCCCTATTCTTATTCCTCCCCTGTACAGACATTAAGTAAAAAAGTCACTTCTTCCCAACATGCAAATGAGAGATTTGGTCAACATAGAACTAAAACATCCAGAATAAACAACACACACAAAACAGAAACATGTAACATGCAAATCATATGTAAATCTAGTAAGCAGGGCATGTCCAACCTTCACCCACATAGTTCATGGTTATGCTGGACATACATTGCAAATACCTCCCTCACACTGGTTAGAGAAAGAACAGTGCATGCTGCTCTCCTGAAGGTTCAGATAACATTAGCCTTTCCCCTACAAAAAAAAAACAGTACAGAGAGCACAACCAATCCTCCAACCTTTCACAGACACGAGCGTCTTGTGTTACACATTCTATTCTCACATTTGTAAGAATGGAGCAACACATAGAGATTGCCACTCCTACCAGTGCAGCTAAAGTGAGCTAGCAAGCTATATATAGCCTAACCCTGAATACACTGCCACATGAAAATCCTTGATCTTTCCTCAACAAAGCACACACAAAACATTTGTGACTTTATTGTTATAACACAAACAATAAACAGTGCAGTATTCACAATCTTACCGAAAGTAGACATGCCGGGTAATCCACTAAATTGAGAATTATCAGGTTTTCAAAAGGAATTTCAAATCTTAGACCAAACTGGAAGTATAGTTGTCTATACCTAAATTTAAAATTCACTTTGAATTCAATCTGAATTCTGATAATTTTCTCTTTAATAAATAATACAGATAGTTAGTGTACATGTCATATATTAATCCCCTCTGATATACTCTCCCAGCGCCCTTTCAGTGTTTCTTTCTCTGGCTCTGCTTCTTCTCCCCAACTTCTCTCTGTTGGTGTCCCCCAAGGTTCAGTCCTTGATCCCCTACTGTTCTCCATCTACACTGCCTCCCTTGGTAAACTCATTAGCTCATTTGGCTTCCAATATCATTTCTATGCAGATGACACACAAATCTACCTGTCCTCTCCTGATCTCTGCCCGTCCCTCTTGACTAGTATATCTGACTGCCTCTCTGCTGTTTCTGGATGGCTGCCCACTTCCTTAAACTAAACTTGACCAAAACTGAAATTCTGGTCTTTCCTCCCTCAAGTGTTGTTTCTCCTGTGTCTGTCTCCCTCCAAGTCAACGGTGCTACCATCAGCTCCACCACGCAGGCTCGCTGCCTAGGTGCTCTCTTTGACTCCGACCTCTCCTTGAAGCCTCATGTTCAATCTATCGCCAAATCCTGTCATTTCCATCTCAAAAACATTGCGAGCATCCGCCCCTACTTAGATGCGATTAAGGTGTTGGTCCATTCCATTGTCCTTTCTCGCCTTGACTACTGTAATCCGCTTCTCAGTGGTCTTACGTGCTCCCAACTTGCGCCGTTATAGTCAATAATGAATGCGGCGTTGAGGCTCATCTTCCTGTCCGCCCGCACCTCCCATGCCTCACCCTTCTGTCAGTCCCTACATTGGCTTCCTATAAAATATAGAGCTCAATTTAAAATTCTGGTTCTTGCTTTCAAATCGCTACATAATACTGCTCCCACCTATCTATCCTCCCTTATACACAAGTATGTCCCGTCTAGGCCCTTACGATCTGCTGAAGACTTACGTCTATCTTCTGTCCGTACTCCCACCTCTGATGCTCGCCTTCAAGATTTCTCGAGGGCTGCACCGATCCTGTGGAACTCGCTTCCCTCCTCCATTAGATGCTCACGCAGTCTCCACTCCTTCAAAAAATCATTAAAAACCCACTGACTGATTCCTCTTCTGCAACTGTCACTAGTCTAATACTATCCTTACCTTTTTGTGTCATTTTACCTCACTCCCTCTAGCATGTAAGCTCATTGAGCAGGGCCCTCAACCCCTCTGTTCCTGTGTGTCCAACTTGTCTGGTTACAACTACATGTCTGTTCATCCACCCATTGTAAAGCGTTGCGGGATTTGATGGCGCTATATAAATATCATAATAATAATAATAATATACAAATGAAAGAAACAGGAGATATTGCAACCCGACTTAAATTAAGGACATGTATTGGAAAATGAAAACATAAGCAATGCAACTCCATAATAAACAATTTTCACAAACTTTCCTCATTAAACCCTTAAGGACCGAAACAATTGTACAAGTTCTGATCAAAATAAACCCTAGAATTTGAGCTATTGCCAGTGTGATAGATCCCTCTGTCCTGAACTAAAATGACCGTATTCCTCATTAGTTTGTTTGATTCGCGTTTCCCCGTTCCTATGGACTCTATGCCGTTCCCTTTCTATGTACCGAATAAAACTTCCGAACGGCCGGCCACCCAGTAGAGAAGTGTGCTGCTGGTTAACCTCTTGGCCCCATCCAGTGGAGCCCATTCGTATGAGAACTGACTTTGTGAACACTTTGGCTCCACGGCAATTGGATTGTGTACATAGGATCTGAGCGCTATTCTGTACTTTGGTGCGCTCAGATCCCAGCTATCTGGGGACCTGTTGTAAAATGTTGTAAAATGTAACAGTTATGTATTTTTATGCCTTTTTGTTATTGTCACCTAAAATGGCGTTTAGGCTGTGTCCTGGGAGATAATTTAATTACTTCACAATTATCTCCCCAGGCAGAGCAGAAGGGTTCTGGGTAAGGAAAGGGGAAAGGCTAAGTGTATACCCTGTGATTGGCTGCTTACTATGTCCTTGTCACAGTCTCCCATTGGGGAGTGTCCACCATATGGGAGACCTGCATAAAAGCCGGGCATGTAGCCCTCAGTAAACCAGATTCCTGCTGACCCTCAGTAAGGAGCTTTGTCTCGTCATTGGGGGGATTATTCGTATGGAGTACGCTTGTTCAGCTGTTTGGGAGAGTACTTGATTCGTATGATTGCTGTTCGGCTGTTTGAGAAACTAATTGATCCATATGACTACTGTTCGGCAGTTTGGAGTGCTCAGTGGCTACCTCTGCATTCGGTAAGGGAAAGTCCTATACGACAGTAACCCCTCTCCTACCGGGGGAGCTGTAACAGCCAGATTCACAATTTAGTGGACGGAGCCCAAGATGCAAATGGGTGCTGCAGGCAATGGACCACGTTCGCAGTACAAAAGGATCAGGCGAAGAGAGTTGTCGGGAAAGCCAAAGGTCAGGACAGGTGGCACAGGTTCAGAAGTGATGATAAGGGCAATGGTCAAAATCAGGATACAACAGGATAGTCTCTCAAGGTCTTTACACAATAAGGAGCACAGTACAACTGAGTGAAGAGTTAAGGATGTGTGCAGCTTAAATAGGGAAAGTAGGTGGTCTTGTCTATTCAGGCTCCATCCTGCTCTCCACCCTTTGATTGTCCTTAAGTTCTACCTCCTGTGTGGTCGTACGTGGAAGCAGCGGCGTTCTCACGAACAGAGTCCAACCTTACTGTGCCCGATAAAAGGCGTCAGTACGAACAAAGTTCTGCTCTCTGTGTTGCAGTGTTCGGTAAGTGTTCTCATGAACAGACTTCTGTTCTTGCTGTGTTTGGGAGCCGACGTCCGTACAAGCAGAGTTCTGCCTGCAGTATTGGTGAGTGGCGTTTGCACGTATAGCGGTGGCGTTCATATGATGATCTAAGTATATATATATACACATACACACTATCACTCACAGTGTATTTTAATATATATATATATCCGTATATACTCGAGTATAAGTCGACCCGAATATAAGTCAAGACCCCTAATTTTACCCCAAAAAACTGGGAAAACTTATTGACTCGAGTATAAGACTAGGGTGGGAAATGCAGCAGCTACTGGTAAATTTCTAAATAAAATGATATCCCCAAAAAAATTATATTAATTGAATATTTATTTACAGTGTGTGTGTGTGTATGAATGCAGTGTGTGTGTGTGATGCAGAGTGTGTTTGTGTATGTGATGCAGAGCATTGGTGGGGAGTGGGCATTTTTATAATTTTTTTTAAATTATTATTCTTATTTTAATATTTTTTTTGTTATATTATTAATATTTTATTTTTATTTTATTATTATTTTTTTTCATATTATTAATATTTTATTATTATTTAAATTTTTATTTATTTGTATTCGTCCCCCCTCCCTGCTTGTTAGCTGGCCATGGAGGGGGGCTCTCATTCCCTGGTGGTCCAGTGGCATGGCTGTGTAGGAGGGGGGCTGGCAGCGAGCTGTAACTTACCTTTCCTGCAGCTCGTGTCAGCTTCCTTCTCCTCCACTGTAAGTCTCGCGGTCTGAGTGCAGTGTGGAGCGTTGCCATGGTGACCCGTGGCAACGCTCTGACCCCGCCGCTCTCGTGAGACTTGCAGTGGAGCTGATAGGGGAGCTGACCGGACTGGAGGAGAGAGAAGGGAGCTTAGAGGAGCTGCGGGAAAGGTAAATTACAGCTCTCTGCCAGCCCCCAACAGGACCGCCGGGCTTGTCATGAGCCCGGCGGTCCTGGTCTGTATTATGGCAAGTAAGTTGCCATAATACAGACATTGACTCGAGTATAAGTCGAATAGGGGTTTTTCAGCACACAAAAAATGTGCTGAAAAACTCAACTTATACTCGAGTATATATGGTATATGAAAATAGTTGAATTTTTTTATATATATATATATATATATATATATATATATATATATTACAACAAGAAGAACAGATACTGCAAGTTCTCAGTGCATAAACACCCCTGAGACTCGCTGCATCACCTGGAAATCTAGATATAGCTATGTAGTCCTACTAATGAACTGGCTGATGATATAAAAATATATATATATATAAAAACATTTTGCATTAACACAAATTACCCATCATTGCATCGATCTTAATTGGACCGTGCTCGTTTTTCAGGTCACCCCACCACTGCACTCCTTAGGCATCATATATTACCCTTGGTGGGACCTCTTTTATTACAGGCCTGCCCATACGTTGGTTACTGCACACCCCAACCAACTTTGCATGAACACAAATTACACATATAACTATTATGTCTCCAACCACCAATAAATATATATATATATATATATATATATATATATATAGAGAGAGAGAGAGAGAGAGAGAATATTCCAAAAATAAGGCTTGCACTCACGGTCTGTAGTAATGTTAAAAATATATTTCTTCTTTATTCCAATATTCTTAAAACAAATCTGTAGTCATCAACGTTTCAGCCATCACTTGTGGCTTTCATCAGGATCAGTTCAATACAAAAATTACATATACAAACAATTGCATTTAAATAGCTAAACAAACTGATCACTAAATCTTTGAAAATGCTCACCACCTGTGCGACCGATCTCCCGGCGTCTCTCACATTGTATTGCGCATGCGCGAACACGCCGATACCCGGAAGTGGCGTGCTTGCGTCATCATCCGTTGCCTGGGTTACCCGCTATGTTTACAAGCTCCCAGGCAACGGAATGATCCTACAGGACGCTCGGGCGGGTGCACGGTGATCAAACCACTTAGATTAAATTAAAACAAGTTGAAACCACAAACAGCATGGTGTGGGCAAAACATCCTAGTTAAATTTAAACTCTATTATAAAACCACAACAACTCATATGTGCATAAGCACTAAATCTAGGCCTATTATATACAAATAGCTTATAGCTAATGTGCATAGATATTCAATAATGATAATATTAATCTACTCAAATGTTATATTAATAATTAAATATCATAGATACATGCTACATATTAAAGTGCATGAATATGAATATATATACAATAAAGTGCTACCTACAAAAATACTGGTTACTATTATATACATAAAGTGTTAGGTGCAACAATATTATGTACAATAAAGTGAACTGATATACATTAACATACACTAATGTGCTGCTATTGATCTATAGGAATATTCCTTACTTTTATATACAGTAAAGTGCACATAAAGTGAATATAAAGTGAACTGATGTGAAATTGTGTATGCTTAAAGCACTACTTTGAATCTTTAAAGAGATACTCATTCCTAATATATACAATAAAGTGCTGGCTGTATGAATAACACTAGTTAATAAGTGCTGAAAAAAGTGCTAAGTGCAAATGTATTATGTACAATAAAGTGAATAAGTGTGTTAAATACAATAAAGTGCCATCATGAATCTTTAAAGCAATACTGATTGCTATTATGTACATTAAAGTGCATACTGTGTATATTATGTATATTAGAACCCTTATTTAAAAAGATTATTCCAAGTGACACTAAGAGTTAAAAGTTACAATGTAGGTCATATATATAACTAAGTGAACCTCTATCATTGATATACTTCAATGTACACATTTATCAACATTTTAGTAGATTTACACATAAAGATACATAAGTTATACTCCTAATTGAAAGTAGGTAATAAGCTATTAAGTTTCTAAGCTATGTAACCAATAAAGACAGATCCCTTAGACCATGCTGCTAACTGTGGTAATTCATACTGTTAAAACATTTCTCTACTCAAGAATGCTTCAATTAATTTCAGCGTTACTCAAATAAATGGGGCATATGTTAACATTTCATTTAATCCCCGAGGCGCAACTGTATCCAGTTCATGAATCCAAAATGTTTCTCTCCGTAATAGAATATTTCCTCTGTTGCCACCCCTTCTGGGTACTGGTATGTGGTCTATTGCTACAAATTTTAATGTAGCCAGAGGGTGTTTGTACTCCAAAAAGTGCTTAGCCACAGGCTTATCTGTGCTTCCATCCCTGATCGCGGTTCTAATATTCGACCTATGTCCCCTGATCCGTTCACACAATTGTGTTTCAGTCTTACCAATATAACATAAGCCGCAAGGACATGACAACTTATATACAACAAACATGGATTTGCATGTAATTGTATATCTTATCTTATAGCTCTTATTCTTGTGTGGATGAGTGAACGTCCGTGCTGGCACCATATGGCCACACGTCACGCATCCCAAACAACGAACACATCCACGCACTTGCAGGTTCTGTTGTTTGGTATAGCTTTCTACCGGGTCGGTTTTCATTAGTATGTCTTTCAAGTTTCTATTCCTCCGAAAACATATCCTTGGAGGCTCTCTAAACTCGCTAGGTAAAGTGTGCTCTATTGATAGCATGTTCCAATTCTTTTTGACTATATTCGAAACTTTATGCGCTTGATTGTGAAATGTAATGGGAAAGACCAACGCCGGCCTTTTAATAAGATCTCGGGGCTTGGTTGCTTTTTCATAAGCTTTTTCCAATGCTCTCTCTAAGATTCTTGACCCATATCCTCGTTCCAAAAATTTCTTTTGCATTTGCTTTAATTGTTGTTGTTTCACACTTTCATTCGAGTTGTTTCTCATGACTCTGAGAAACTGAGCCTGTGGAATAGAATTCTTTAAATTTCGCGGATGGGCACTTGTATAATGTAAAATCGTATTGCGATCTGTGGGTTTGGTATACAAACTAAATTCAACTTTATTATCAATTATTGAAAGTTCCACATCCAAAAAATGAACTTTTTCTGTACTGATATCAGCCGTCATACGTACTGGTGTAGGGAGCTGATTAATGGATTCCACCATCTGATAAGCCTGGTATGTTGTACCCCTCCATAATATCAAGACATCATCGATGAAACGAAAACATTTTATGATGTTTTGTCGATAAGGTTTAAGTATATATTCTTCCTCAAATACATACATATACGAATTCGCATACATAGGTGCCATAGGTGCGCCCATCGAGGTTCCAGATTTTTGCACATACCATTGTTCTTCAAACCGGAAATAGTTGTTTCTTAATACCACCTCTAATAACTCTAAGGTGTATTCGATAGGCGGCCCCTTGTATGTAGTTAAAGCACATAGCACTTGTCTCATAGCCTCTATACCATCTTCATGAGGGATGATGGTATAGAGGCTACTAACATCCATAGTAATCAAGACCGGATCCGGTGCATCTATATTAAGCTGTTTCAAGATTTCCAAAAGTGAGGGTGTATCCTTGATACACGTATGCAGTTGCAAGACTGTTTCCTTCAATTGTACATCCAGCCATTTCCCAATCGGTTCCAGGACTCCACCCACCGCCGATACTATGGGTCTTCCCGGTGGTTCAGTTTGATTTTTATGTATTTTAGGTATCGTGTACATAATAGGCGTCCTAGGAAATTTTTGGACAAAGTATGCGTATAGGTTTTGATCTATATAATTTGCTCTCAAACCCATAATCAGTATCTCTTCTATCCTTGCTTGTACGATATTTGTTGGATCTCCTTCCAATTCTTCATATGTGTTCACGTCCCTCAGTTGTCTTTTAACTTCTTCAGCATATTTATCATAGTCCATTATAACTATGCCCCCGCCCTTATCCGCGGGGCGTATAACGATGGATGAGTCCTGTGCTAGATTGTTTAAAAATAAATGTTGCTTTTTACTTAAATTATTACGTGACACGTGGCTTTTTCAATGCTTCTGCAGATTCGAGTTGGACAGTTGACAGAAACGTTTTGATACTTGCTCGATTATTTTGCGGATCAAAATTGGATCTTGGTTTGAACCGTGTTAACACTTCATTTTCATTAGATTGGTACGTAAATGGTTTATTAAAATGATCTTTCAAACGCATAATTCTTCCAAAACTAAATAGTTCCACATTCCAAGTGAACCTATTCGGATTGGTCTCAGGGACAAATGACAATCCCAATTTGAGGATATCGATCTCCTCTTTATGCAATGTTCTATGTGACAGATTGAATACAGGCACTACCGTCTCAGTGGTGGTCTCCCACGGGAATTGGTTCTTCCCCTTGTGCCCTCTCCTTGTTCTACGCCGTTTGTGCCTCTGCCTCTGCTTCTCGTTGTAGTACCGGTTACCATGGTCTCTAAAAAAGCTTCACCATCACCTTGTAAATCCGTATCTGATGCCGATTCCCCAGATGTGACATCTATCGTATATGCCTTGGGGCGCACGATTCTTTTACGGAATCTTCTAGGTCTCTGTTGGTTAGCCCCACTTAACCACTTGTAGACACGGTGCTCCATATAATCCTGTTGTACATATTCAAATTTTTGTTTCTTGAATTTAATCAAGTCATTTTTGTATTTCAACATATCCTCTTTTAACTTATCTAGCATCTTCGTGCCTTCCAAAGTAGCTAGTAGTATAGCATGTTCTGTTTCAATGTCTAATATTTTCCGTGTAACAATATCCATTTCAGCTTTCACATCCTGGATTATAATTAGCATGAGATCTAATGATGCCTTATTAAGTACTCCTATCCAATCTCGACAAACCTTGGCTTTTGATCTACCAATTGTAGGTATATTCATAATGCGGAACCCCCTGGGAATCCTTTTTACTTTATAATAATCGGAGAGGAACAATCCATGAAGGTCCAAATCAATCCGCTTCCTCTGTAGCTTTAAAAGTTGGAAGTACAGATCTTTAGTGGTTATATTGCATGGAAATTCTGTACTAGATTGTACCCAGAGTATAGCTTGTGCTTCTTCTTGAGTGAAATGGAGGGTTTCTGCCTGCTCAGCATATCCCCCTGCTTGTAGCATAAAATCATCTGTTTGATCCATAGTGAAAAAACATAGCGGGTAACCCAGGCAACGGATGATGACGCGAGCACGCCACTTCCGGGTATCGGCGTGTTCGCGCATGCGCAATACAATGTGAGAGACGCCGGGAGATCGGTCGCACAGGTGGTGAGTATTTTCAAAGATTTAGTGATCAGTTTGTTTAGCTATTTAAATGCAATTGTTTGTATATGTAATTTTTGTATTGAACTGATCCTGATGAAAGCCACGAGTGATGGCTGAAACGTTGATGACTACAGATTTGTTTTAAGAATATTGGAATAAAGAAGAAATATATTTTTAACATTACTACAGACCGTGAGTGCAAGCCTTATTTTTGGAATATTCTATATTGTTTGGCTATGGCTATTATGCACCCGGCATTTTTTTGAATTTTGCAAGTGTGTGTGCAGGGTACCAGTGCAAGTTATATATATATATATATATATATATATATATATATTTAAATTATATGTGTTTATTTATGTAATCTTTTTACATAATTAAGTAATTTTATTAATTACAATTTGAGGGATCTGTCTGATAACCCAGACACAAAGTTCAGATAATTTACTTGCAAGGTCAACACGGCAACTTTTCAAAACACCATAAAACCTGTACATGGGAGACTTTGCAGAACACAATTATGAGCGTTTCAAAACAGTAAAGCATATCAAGACTATGATATCATCAGTGAAAGTGTCGTTTGTGTGTGAAAAATGCAAAAAAAACAATATGAATGCTAACTTTGGCCAGTGTTTGTGACTAAATGGCTATCAAAAAAGACTAGACATACCTTATTTGTAATACCTTGTGTTGTCAACTTTTGCAAATGGTATGTCATGATGGGACAATTCTCATTCTTGGGCTGCCATATGGTCTCAAAGGCAACATAACCAATTTGGCAAAATTCAATGTGTAAAAACTGAAATGGGCAAACCTTATATTTGACATTGTAACTTTCCAAAACACCATAAAACCTGGACATGGGGTGGTACAGTTGTACTCATGAGACATTGCTGAACACAAATATGAATGTTTAAGAGCAGTAAAATTTATACTGCTGATGATATCATCAGTGAAAAGGCAGGTTTTTTTTGGACAAAATACGAAAACCATATATGAACGCTAAATCTGGCCAGGGTTTGTGATTACGTGGCTGTGGCGGAACCAACCTTGCCACTATGCACTGGAGAAGCCTGGTTGCTCGCCTGCTCCCTTTAGACTATGGCCCTGCAGTTCAGACCTGTTATTTTCCATGCTGAAAGGTTTATTCGTGCCTTTCTGCCGGGATGTTCAGTAGATTCAATCTACCGAACAAACTACCGAACGATGGACCACCTGGGAACTGGAGTGTGCCGTCAATTGACTGCCCAGAAGCTGCGGTTAACCGCAGCTTAATTGATGAATGCTGGGTGGCCTTTGTTCGGTTGCCGAACACGTGGCAGCGGCCATTGTACCTCCCGAACGGCCAGCGGTGTTCAGCGCCCAAACTATGGAACTGAAAATGGACACTTATTGGCGCGAACACCGCTGAGCCACCAGCCTCCTTACCTCTCCATTTGGTAGCGGAACCGAATGACTGTTCATTCGGTAGTTTAACTGGATGAACAGCATCACCCCAGATAGCTAAGCCATGGAGCCTATTCGTGTAACGAAAGACTATGTGAAAGACTTTGGCTCCATGGCGATTAAAATGTATGTATGTGATCTGAGTGCCATTCGGTAGTAATGTGCGCTCAGATCTAAGCTATCTGGGGATATGTAGAATGTATATGTTTTTTTTTTTTTTTTTAATTCTTTATTTTTGCTGTGCATGAAATAATTTTGCATATCAACAATGCCACAACAGCAATCGCAATCAATTTACAGACACTTATTTGTCAACTGTTGTACAGCATAGAGGACACGCACACATTTTTTTTAGGGTAATAATACAAGTTAAGTACAAGCTTAGTAACTACGTCTGTCTTTTGAATTACATTGTCGATTAGTACCAGTAGCTTAGGGTTAATATTTATGTCGCGTGTCATCGCTTCATTATCTAGACATTGACATGGTTATGCCTGACTATGCTTAAGTGAGAGACATACATTTTGTACAGTAACAGTTGGTCTAAGTAGTCGTGACATGCAGTAGTTGAGACTGTGAGTTTGCACTTTAGGTTATAATAGACTATGCAGTGCTGACTAACAAAATATATCTATTTCTATTAAGGTTTCCAACTTTAGCTAAGATTCTCATTAAAGTAGGGTGCCACCAGGCAGAGCATCATACATTCAGTTATTTCCTTCTATACATATAAAGCTCAAGTAAAGCTGAACTATATACAGGGTCATATGCAGAGGATATGCACGTTATTCAATGACTGCAACTACAGTGATATCTGGTATAGCTATTCATGTCATACTATATATTGTGCTTCTTATTATGAACGGCTGGGGTCACCGTCAGCTCCAGCCCAGCGCAAAGCCTGAGGTAATCTGGTTGTGTTCCATGCCCAGGTGTGGGGTGAGTCCCTTGATATTACCCCATGAATTCCACTTGTTCCTAATGTCCCGGTTGTTGGGTAGGTTTGCCATGTCTTGCGAGCCTTGATGTATTGTCGAGGGCTATAGCACCATGCGGTCAGTGGGTAAAGCTGGGTGTTCTGTTTGTTCTTCCAGCCCTGGTCGTTAGTGGAGCTTGCTTGCAGAGTGCCCTTCTGGGGTTGCCGCTTTGAGATGGGCATGTGGAGGAAATGCTGGCTGTGGTGGTTCTCATTTGTCAGCTTGTATGTTCCAGGGCTGTTACGTGGGGGCATGAGAGCCCTCAGGGACCCCCGGTGGTAGCAGGTTGTGAGCACAGAGTGATCACCTTCTGTCGATGCAGTTGCTGTGCCTCCGTCAGCCATTTTGGTGAGACCGCGTGGGATCCTCACTCCGGCTTCAGACCATTCAGGTGAGACGTTTAGGCATTAGCCCGCCTGGTGGGGACCGGGATGACCCCCCCGGCCCATGGGGGGGGAAGCAGGACCAGGAAGGTACCAAGTAGATGGTGATTTACTGCAGTCGGAGTGGAGAGCGAGGCAGCGGCCGTCCACCCCGCTCCCCTCCCGGGTAGGCCTCAATCCCCGAGCGCCAGAGTCTCTCACCAGGACCTAGAGCCACCCTGCGGCGGGCGCTCCAGCTACACTGGGACACTTCAGGGCTTCATGTCATGGACCCCCGGGTCCGTATAAGTCGGGTAAAGTGGATATATTGCCTTTTTTCCTTTGTTTGCTCAGGAGCCCGTGTGATATGCAGCCTGCTGGCATGGCCGCCCGGCCCCGCCCCCCCGAATGTATATGTTTTATGTAATAAATGTAACTGTATGTAATTTTATGTCTTTTACTGAAAATGTGTGTAATGGAGTTTTGCCTCTGTCCTTGGAGATAATTGGATTACTTCCCAATTATATCCAGGACAGAGAGGAGGGATTGTGCTGCATTGTGGGATGGTTGAAATGTGTAAGTCTGTGATTGGTTCTTGTACCCTTTGTGTTCCAGTCTTCCATCTGGTCCCCTAGGGGAGTGTACCAGGTGGGAGACCTGCATAAAAGCCGGGCAGTTAGCTCCAGTAAACCAGATTCTGTTTGACCCTCAAAACAAAGTGTCGTCTCGTCTTTGGGAGGATTTACTGTATGCTGTTAGAGACTGATTGCCAGGAGTGTAAGCCGCTTGGGTGCTTTTCCTGTTCAGCTGCTTACAGCATTCATATGCTTGAGAGCATTCATATGCTTCTCCGGTTCGGTGGTTGTGGTGTCTGCTGCAGTGCTTGGAGTCCTCAGGAAGCGCTAGGAGCATCCTTCAATGGAGATACCCAGTCGGGGTGCCAGGTGATCCGTTACAGTGGCTAAAAAAAAAGACGAGACATACCCAATTTTTAATACCTTGGGTTGTCTACTTCTGCAAATGTGGTGCCATGATGGGGTTAATTTTCATTCTTGGGCTGCCATACACACTCAAAGGCAACAAGGGCCCAGCAAACCAATCTGGCAAATTTCAATGTGTAAAAACTGAAAAGGGAACGCCATGCTGATAAGCTCCTCCGAGCAACATCAAAAATCCACGGATATCCCGCAAAAGAGAGCCCATCCAGCCCTAAAAAGTGGATAGCTGAACACACCAACACCCCCTGAGGCGACAGATGCCTTTTTTTCTTGCACCCAACCAGCCGAAGCGGAGAAAGAAAACCGGGGCCTACCCCACTCTGACACTAACAGGCCTGGAGGCGCTACTTACACAACAAGTAAGAAACGATCCCCCCCGGATCCCTACAGACGCCCACGCCCAAATGCCAGCTATGGGCCGCTGCTCCCAGAAATCGGGGGCGTCGGACCACAGGGACATAGAGACACTGTTCCAACAACCGGCACAGCCCAAACCGGCACCCGCGGAAATCCCGCGACCATCCAACCACAACTACCCGGGAGAAGAAACGGGGTCTGACCGCATACCAGCCGCCCAATCGAGGCTGCATGAAATCCCCACTGACTCCACACCGACAACCAGGCAGGACCTAAAGGTCCTACTGTCAGACTTCCACAAAATTCTGGCGGCGGAACTCGCACCAATAAAACATGACATGAAGGCCATCACTGACCGAGTGCAGGCCTCCGAAACAGATATAGCAGCTATGCGGACGCACATCTCAGAACTCCAGAATTCACTGCAGCAGGTCTGGGCCCACCAGAACACCATGTCCACACAGATAACGGCAATGGCAGACCGTCTCCGCCGATCCAATATAAAAATCAGGGGCATCCCCACGGCAGTAACAGAGGACGAACTGCCTCACTACGTTAGGCGCCTACTGGCCTCTATCCTGCCTCACGCAGTAGCTAAAAAGCTGACCGTGAAGGGGATCTACCGCCTACCTGGACCCGTGGGGGGACCAACTAACATGGCAAGAGACGTCATACTAAGGTGCCTCACAGTGCACTACAAAATCCTCATCATGTCCGCAATTAAAGGTAAAACGCCTTTATACTTTGAAGAGGCTCATCTCTCGTTTTATCAAGATCTCACAAAGGCAACCCTCCTCTGGCGCAAAACATTCCAACCGGTAACAAGCCTTTTACGTTCAACAAACATAAGCTACAGGTGGGGAACGAACGGATCCTTAACGGTGACCCAGCATGTAAACCTACATACACTTACTTCGATGGAAGACACAACACCATTCCTGACAGCACTGGGCCTGGAGCCACTGAGGTCCAACACACCCCCGAACACCTCCACTCCCATTTGGAATCCGGACAAGACGGTGACCTTTGTCCCGAGGAACGAGAGCATGAGAACGACGGACCCAGGACCAAGCTTGAGAGCCGACCCAACATAGGGTACCCGGAAACAACACCTGAGGACTGCTTGGCCAGGCACAAACGCTCCCAAGTCCTACAAGAGACTATATGTTCAGTTATTTACTATTAATAGCACCTTCTGTGCTTCCCCTCTCTCTCCCCGTCCCGCATAATTTCTTATTACTACAACCGTCAGCATCAACACCAGCTCCAGGGCGCACAACACAACTAGTGGAGGGGGACACATATATGGTACCACATATATGGTACCAACTATCCCACAACTGCAATCACTCAAATCCCCCTACACAAACAAACTAGCGGGCGCCCTAGAACACCCACACTCCATACCCCCCCGACACTCCCTTGGTCAGGAGTGCCCATCCAGAGTGCGTAGATTTAGTCAGGACACAGCCCTGATTCCGGGTCCTGACAGCCATGTCACCTCGGATACTACCTAAAAGACCACACTTACGCTATGCACATACTGCAGCCTAGTTAAGCACGCATATACGCACATATATGTTGCAACCTCGGCCCAGTAACGCTAGCATGCACCCCTAACTTAGGGACACAACAACCTTAGGTAAGCGGAGAAACAGCACGCAGCCACACATCCCTCATGCATAGGGAAACTCGCAAGTAACCTAAGTTTCTGCAAGCACACTAAGAAGTAAACTGTGTAAGTCCTTAATGCATACTCCCTAACACCAGTACGGCACATTTCACTAATATGACATGCATACGCACCCTCCATACCTTGTGCCAGAACATAAAGAATCAAACAAGAGATTAACATAGTAAGGGACTAGAATTGCAAGTAGTCAGGGCCAGTGCAGTAACTTTGATTCTCCTTTGCAAGCCTACCAAGTTACACACACGCCTTATCACCAAGCAATTTATGCATTTATGGAATTAACATGGCCTCACCTCCTCCCGTGCCATCGCGGGGTTTTTATTGTTCTATGTTCTAACATTAGCAAAATCGATATGCCAGCAAAGTCACCTTCATCTAGGAGTCAGGGTTGGCTGCTGGACCTATGACTGTTTATTATTTTCATCATCTTTAATCATAAAAATTGTGCATATTTTCTTACGTACCTCTTTGTCTACATGGTTATATACCAAGTTGGAGGATTGCCTTTGGGGTACCTCCCAACTGTCTGTTATGAGCTTATGCACTACAAAAATAAAGAATTAAAAAAAATAAAAAATAAAAAAAAAAAGATTTACAAAAAAATAAAAATAAAAAAAAATAAAATAAAATAAAAAACTGAAAAGGGAAAAGTGCTATATTTTACCCTGTAACTTTCCAAAATCCCATAAAACCTGTACCTGGGGGCTACTGCTGTACTCATGAGACATCGCTGAACACAAATATGAGTGTTTTCAAACAGAAGAATGTATAATGCTGATGATATCATGAGTGAAAATCAGTCTTAATTTTGTTGATTAACAATTTTAGTCAGATTTTAGTCGACTAAACTTTTTGAGATTTTGTCGACTAAAACTAGACTAAAATTAAAACAATTCCATGACTAAAATACAACTAAAACTAAAATGTCTTCTTAGTCAAAAGACTATAACTAAAACAAAATTAAAATTTGCCACCAAATTTAATACTGGCAGGTAAGACACATGGGGGAGGTAGTATAGGAAATGAGACACATGGGAACTGGGGAATTGAAACACATGGACTGAGGGGATCAAAGAGACAAAGAGGGGCTGGGGAAGGGACAAAAAGACAAAGGCTTTAACTAAACCTATTAGATTGTAGCCGACTTAAATCTGTTTGAGATTTTGTTGACTAAAATCTACTGGAGATTAGGGATGTGCATGAGGAAAATATTCGGTTTGCTTCAGCATTCCGAAATTCTGGACTTCTGCTGTTCGGAACTTCGTCACTTCGACATTCCAGAATTTCAGAACTTCAGATGTTCTCTTGCAAACACTTAGTAGATAACTCCATAATTCCCACAGTACTAGGGATCTATCTACCAAAAGGCTGAAAGACCTAAATTGGTCTTTCAGCCAAATTTAATAATACTAAGTAAAAATTACTTAGTATTAGTACATTCTGCCCCTACTTGCTCTACCGTGAGTAGGGGCATGTCTATTAAACAGTGAGCAGCCAGTGGCCCCCATCCCTGACCGGTGGGTGGGGGCCTAAAATACTTCAAAGGAGGTGGACCTATTGTCCTCCCCCTTGGCCCCACCCTTGAGTGGCAGGTGGGGGCCCTAAAGTAAAATAAAAGGGGGGCCTATTTTTCTCCCCCTGGCCCCCACCCCTGAGTGGTGGGTGTGGGCCCTAAATTACCTGAAAGGGGGGGAGACCTATTGCCCTCCCCTGTGGCCCCCACCCCTGAGTAGCGGGTGGGGGCCCTAAAGTAGAATAAAAAGGGGCCAGGGGGAGGACCTATTGTCCTCCCCCTGGCCCCCACCCCTGAGTGGCGGGTGGGGGCCCTAAATAAAAATCCCCCCAGGTAACTAGGGGTCCCCAATCCCCTAGTCACCCCCTCCCAACAAAATTGTTTAAATCCCTACCTACCACCCTCACCCTAAAAATAGTGAGGGGGAACAATTACTAAGTACATGTAAAAAAAAAAAGAAAAAAAACCTACCATTTGATGTCTTCTTTTTTCTAAAATCTTCTTTTTGCAGCCACAGAAAAGGCCAAATAAAAAACCATAATATCCCTCGCAATTAAAAAAAAAAATCAGACGGAAAAAACAAACCTCGAGGCTGAAAAAATAATCCATCTTCACCCATGGAGGGCACCACGCAGACTGAGCTCCGCATGGCGGGGCAAGGCTTATTAAGCCTTGCCCCGCCCTGCAATTAGGCTCAGAGCGCTCTGATTGGTTGGTCTGAAATTTTCTCACGCTGTGTAATTTGACTTATAACACTCTGATTGGTTACTATTAATCAGAGTGTTGTTATGAGTCAAATTACACAGCATGGGAAAATTCCAAAGAACTTTCCCACGCTGTGTAAAAGGACACCGAGCACTCTGATTGGTTGGATTTCAAGCCAACCAGAGTGCTGTGACAGGTAAATAGACTTACATGTCAGTCTCTTCATTTACCTGTCAGAGCACTCTGATTGGTTGGCTTAAATCAGAGTGCTCTGAGCCTAATTGCAGGGCAGGGCAAGGCTTTATAAGCCTTCCCCCGCCTTGCGGAGCTCAATCTGCGCGGTGCTCTCCATGGGTGAAGATGGATTACTTTTTCAGCATCGGGTTTTCTGATTTTTTTTCTGCTCAGTTTTTTTGTGTTTTTTTTAAGTGCAACGTGTAGTATGGTTTTTTATTTGTCCTTTTTTGGGTCTGAAAAAAGAAGATTTTGGAAAAAAGTAGACATCAAATGGTAATTTTTATTTCTTTTTATACAGGTACTTAGTTATTGTCCCCCCCTCACTATTTTCAGGGTATGGGGGGTTGTTAGGGGTTTATTAATTTTATTTGAGAGGGGGTGACTAGGGGTTTGGGGACCCCTAGTCACCTGGGGTGGTAACTTTTTTTATTTAGGGCTCCCACCCGCCGCTCAGGGGTGGGGGTCGGGGGGGAGGACAATAGGTACCCCCCTTATTCTGATTTGAGGTCCCCACCTACGGCTCAGGGGTGGGAGCAGGGGTGATGACAATAGGTCCCCCCCTTATTTTACTTTAGAGCCCCCACCTGCCGCTCAGAGGTGGGTGTCAGGGGGGAGGACAATAGGTGCCCCCCCTTATTCTACATTTGGGCCCCCACCCACCGTTCAGGCGTGGGGGCCAGGGGGGAGGACAATAGGTCCCCCCCCTTATTCTGATTTGGGGTCCCCATCCACCGCTCAGGGGTGGGAGCTGGGGGGATGACAATAGGTCCCCCCCTCTTATTCTACTTATGCATGGTGAGTTTGCAGTGCATTTGCATATTAGACATGTGCAATTCGTTTTTTTTTTCCGAATGTACATTCGAACGAATTTCATGCAATTCATACATTCGGAAGATTACGAATGTCCAAAGTTCTGAATTGCCGAAGTTCAGAATTGCCAAAGTACCGAAGTGGGTTAAGGTTAGGGTTCGGGATAGGGTTAGGATGAGCGGTAGGGTTAGGGTTTAGATGTTAGGGTTTAGGTGGTAGGGTTAAGGGTTTGGGCTAGGGTTAGGGCTAGGGTCCGAATTAACGAAGTCCCAAATTGCCGAAGTACCAAATTTCGGAAGTGCCAAACCGAGCCGAATGCCATTAGTCCAAATTGCCAAAGCAGACAAATTTTTGATTTTGTTTTGATCCATAGATGGGAAGTTTGTAATTTGTGTAATTTAGGTACTGTTCCAAAGAGCATTGTGACAGTTTTGTCAGTGTTTAGGAAGAGTTTGTTTTTTTTTGATCCACTTTTCTACATCTGTGAACTGGTCTTGGAGCAAAGCCTCAAGCTGTGGTAGATTGGATTTGCTTGCATAGATTTCTGTGTCATCTGCGTACATGTGTACATTTGAGGATTTGCAGACATTAGGCAGGTCATTTATAAATAAAGTGAATAGTAGGGGGCTGAGAATGGAACCTTGTGGAAAACCACAAGTGACTGGGAGAGGGAGGGAGTTGCTGTCAGAAATGGACGCATATTGTGATCAATCTGATACATATGATCGAAACCAGGTTAGCGGACAATCATCAACACCTGAGTTTTCTAGTTTGTGCAATAGAATGTCTTGGTCTACTGTGTCAAAGGCCTTTGCAAAATCGAGGAAAATAGCTCCAGTTAGGTCTCCTTCTTCCATGCCAATTTGGATGTCATTGCAAACTTTTAAGAGGGCAGTTGTAGTTGAGTGATTCTGGCAGTTGTAGTTGCTAGTAATACTCACATAGTTGCGAACAAATAAAAAGAGGAGAGTAAGCGCTAGATAACAGTGGAGCTGCAACCTAAAAAGAGGGGATCTCTCAGATAAACCCTCAAATACAATAGAGATAAAAAACAAACAAAGATAAAGGATGCGCTAAAATAGACCAAATAGATAAAAATATGAAGTAAAAGTCTTAGCTGTAAAAAGATCTTCTATAGATCAAATAGTCCATAAAGTGCTGGTTCTGAAAAGTGCTTCTCCAGAGGTAATGTCCTCAATGTTCTTCTTCAGGGGGATCCAGTACCATGGAACGATAAAAACAGATACAGAAACCAAATGGTGTAGTACGTCCAATGTGATATAGAAGATAAAAGGGAAGAGAAGTAATGCACTCACGTGTAGTAGAGCTTTTAACTAGCTCTTAGTGTAAAAGGTGTACAGCGGTATGATCCCCGCTTATGGGATATGGTGCAGACTACTATTTTACCAAATAGATAAAAATATGAAGTAAAAGTCTTAGCTGTAAAAAGATCTTCTATAGATCAAATAGTCCATAAAGTGCTGGTTCTGAAAAGTGCTTCTCCAGAGGTAATGTCCTCAATGTTCTTCCTCAGGGGGATCCAGTACCATGGAACGATAAAAACAGATACAGAAACCAAATGGTGTAGTACGTCCAATGTGGTATAGAAGATAAAAGGGAAGAGAAGTAATGCACTTAAGTGTAATAAAGCTTTTAACCAGCTCTTAGTGTAAAAGGCGTACTGCGGTATGATCCCCGCTTATGGGATATGGTGCAGACTTCTTCTTCCAAGGGTATATTTCACATTCAAATAGAATAGAGAGAAAAGGAAACCAATAGTGCTCACTGGGTAAAATTAATAAAATAATTTAAAATGAAAGGGTACTCACAAGAGTGCAGCAGGCAAACTGCTCCTTAGCAACAGCGTCGGTGGTATAACTCCTACTTGGAGTCCAGAAGAATAAAATGCCAGGTAGAAGATAAAAATAAAAATATATGTATAAAGTGTATATAAAAGATAATTGGTACAAATAAAAGAGTAACCAAAATTTTTTTAATAGATTAAAATACATAAATATAGTATCCACAAACGCGTTTCACCAATAAGGCTTTATCAATATGGAAATAGCTTTATCAATATGGAAGAAGTCTGCACCATATCCCATAAGCAGGGATCATACCGCTGTACGCCTTTTACACTAAGAGCTAGTTAAAAGCTCTACTACAAAAACCAAAGTAGTGTCCCCACTTTTATGGATTGGCAATACTCTTTATTGCAGTGAAGGCTAACAGTAATATGACTTTCACAGTTAAAATGCACACACTAACTACATTTCTCACAACTTTTAGTTCTTATTCATATAAAATTCTGTTTCATATATAAATGTTTGATATTAAATTAAAGTCTTGTTTCTCCCGAACAAAATGATATATAATAAGTGTGGGTGCACTTAATATTAAAGAGGTAAATTATGGTTTAACAGACATATAGTCAAATTCCAGTTTTGTTTTGATTTTGTTTTGATCAGAACTTGTACTTACTTAATTTTGATGAAGTTGTTATGGTGCCAAAACGGGTCTTTTAAACTGCAATAGCTACTCTACCATTTCACTGTCAGCATTACATTAGCGGTCCAGAGTCCATTCGCTCCTCCCCCCTCTCTGACTGTTACTGTAAGAATTGTATCATCAAGTGAAACACCCTATACTGTTTAAAAGCAGCTGGTAAGCTGATATTTTCAGCAGTTTTAGATTCCTTATATCAGTAACAAGTGGCAGAGAAATGTGGTTCTCTGTTCTAGTATTGAAGGGGTTAAGGGTTTATTCGCTAAAAAGTAAATTGAGGTGCAATAAAAACAGAATCAAAACAATCCGGCAATAGTAGCAGTTACAGATTAGATTTTTTAGTGTAAAACTCCATACTTTTCCATACACCCAACTTCACTGGTGGGGCAGGTTGGGTCATTTTTTTTCTTATATTGTTGGTTTTTAAGAGAATACGTTTATATATATTATATGTGCTTTGTTACAATTAATTAAAAGAAAGAAAACTACATACACCATACTTATAGATAGGCTTTGATAATAAATATCTTATTTTCTTATAGGATGTAATAGGAGTTTACAATAACTAACTTGTCTTTTCAACTTTACACCAAGCTGAAGGAGTGTGAGTAATCAATTTCTATATGGCCTGTTGTCATTTTCATGATCTTTATCTCAATGTTAAAACTCAACAGCAGCCACCAGGGCCGGACTTTGCAAAAATATTTGGGCCGGGCATATTTTAATCACAGTGGCTTAGTGGGAGCACCAATGACAAGCACATACCCTCAAAGTGAGCATGTTGGTTCAATGCTCTTCCAGGACAACTCATCCACAGTGCCCTGCTGAAGAGAAAGGCCCTTTACATGTTATGCACAGCACAAGCACATGTATTGACATGCTTAAACTGCATTTGCTTGTGACTTACATAGTTACATAGTTACATAGTTACATAGCTGAAAAGAGACTTGCGTCCATCAAGTTCAGCCTACCTCACATTTGTTTTTTGCTGTTGATCCAAAAGAAGGCAAAAAAAAACAGTTTGAAGCACAATTTTGTAACAAGCTAGGAAAAAAATTCCTTCTTGACCCCAGAATGGCAGTCAGATTTATCCTTGGATCAAGCAGTTATTACCCTACATTGAAAGATTATATCCTTGAATATTCTGTTCTTGCAAGTATGCATCTAGTAGCCGTTTGAACATCTGTATGGACTGTGATAAAACCACTTCCTCAGGCAGAGAATTCCACATCCTGATTGTTCTTACAGTAAAAAAACTTTCCTTTGCCTTAGACGAAATCTTCTTTCTTCCAGTCTAAACGCATGGCCTCGTGTCCTATGTAAAGTCCGGTTTGTGAATAGATTTCCACACAATGGTTTGTATTGGCCCCGAATATATTTGTATAATGTTATCATATCCCCTCTCAGGCGACGCTTTTCTAAACTAAATAGGTTTAAATTTGTTAACCTTTCTTCATAGCCGATATGTTCCATTCCTTTTATTAATTTTGTAGCCCGCCTCTGCACTTTTTCTAGTGCCATAATATCCTTCTTTAGAACAGGTGCCCAAAATTGCACAGCATATTCAATATGGGGTCTTACCAGTGATTTATAAAGAGGCAAAATTATATTCTTGTCCCGAGAATGAATGCCCTTTTTCATGCATGACAATACCTTACTGGCCTTGGCCACTGCTGATTGACATTGCACATTGTTGCATAGTTTGTTGTCTATAACAATTCCCAAGTCCTTTTCATGTGTTGTTATCCCTAATTCGCTTCCATTAAGGGTATACGTTGCTTGTGTATTCTTTACGCCGAAGTGCATAACTTTGCATTTTTCAACATTAAATTTCATCTGCCATTTGAGTACCCAGTCCCCCAGTCTATCTAAATCCCTCTGCAGCAAAGTAATATCTTGCTCACATTGTATTGTTTTACAAAGTTTGGTGTCATCTGCAAACACTGAAACATGACTTTCAATGCGGTCTTCAAGATCATTTATAAACATGTTAAATAGAAGGGGTCCCAGAACAGACCCCTGAGGGACACCACTTGCCACCTCTGTCCAGCTTGAAAATTTACCATTAATGACAACTCTATGTACTCTGTTTTTAAGCCAATGTTCTACCCAAGAACAAGTATTTTCATCTAGACCGATTTCCTTGAGTTTGAACACTAATCTATTGTGTGGAACTGTATCAAATGCCTTGGCAAAATCCAAATAGATCACATCCACGGCAACACCCTGATCTATACTTCTACTTACTTCTTCGTAGAACGCAATCAAGTTAGTTTGACATGACCGGTGCTTCATAAAACCATGCTGATTTTTGCTGATAACCACGTTCTTCTCAAGGAATTCTTGAATATTATCCCTTAATAACCTTTCAAATATTTTACCAGCCACAGAAGTTAAGCTCACAGGTCTATAATTTACAGGCAAAGATTTTGAACCCTTTTTGAATATAGGAACCACATCTGCCTTCCTCCAATCCTCTGGAACACTTCCTGAAAGAAAATAATCTTGAAAGATTAAAAATAGACTTGTCTCGGGTGTCTCCATAAGTCCATCATACTGCAGTGAGAAGATTATTCAAAAGTGAAAAGCATTCAAGACAGTTACCAATCTTCCCAGGAGTGAACATCCCAGCACACTTACATACCAAGTTCAGAAAGTGTAATGCTCAAATAAACTGTAAAAAAAAAAATCTCAGACTCTTCAGGCCTCAGTTAGAATGTTTACTATTAAAATCCATGACAGTACGATTAAAAAAAGAAGTGCGGTTTCTTTGGAAGGGTTGCTAGGAGAATGCCTCTTCTCTCTAAAAAAACATGGCAGCACAACTCAGGTTAGCAAAGTTGCATCTGAACAAACCACAAGACTTCTGGAATAATGTCCCTTGGACAGACAAGATCAAAGTGGAGATATTTGGCCATAATGTACAGCGCCACTTTTGGAGAAACCCAAACACAGTGGTGAATGGATGATGATTTGGGCTTGTTTTGCAGCCACATAACCTGGGATCCTTGCAATCATTGAGTAGACCATGAACACCTCTGTATACCATAATATTCTAGAATCAAATTTGAGGCCATTAGTCCAACAGCTTAAGCCTGGCCGAAATTGTGTCATGCAACAGGACAATGATCCCAAGCACACCAGCAAATCTACAACAGAATGGCAGAAAAAGAAAATAATCAACGTGTTGCCATGGCCCAGTGGAGTCCAGACCTCAACCTGTTTAAAATGCTGTGGCGGAACCTTAAGAGAACTGTGCATAAACAAATCCCAACAAACCTCAATGAACTGAAGCAACATTGTAAAGAAGAGTGGGCCAAATTTCCTCCTCAGAGACTGATAACGTTATACAGAAAAGTTAACTTCAAGTTTTTGCTGCTAAAAGTGGTTCTGCAAGCTATTGAATCATAAGTTGTGTTTAGTTTTTCAAACATGGCTTCTCCATGTTAACTTTATGTTAAATAAATCATGACACAGTGTAATATGCCATGTGTTGTTCATCTGGAGTTCTATTTACCTAATTTAAGACCTGCTAAGGAACAGATGGTTGTTATTATGTCCTGATATGTAAAACCATAGAATCTGAAGAGGGTGTAATTTCATTTTCCCATGACTGTAAATACATTTTATTTTATTTTTGTTTTGTTTTTGTTTTTTCATTTAAAATGTATCAAACTTTATTTCCCCATCACTTCTTCTTATCTTTTGGCAGGGAGGAGGGACATTTCAAGCCCCCTTATTGCAAGCCCTCGTATTTCTCCAAATCCTCCCCCACGGAGTTAGTACCTACTACTGGTAAAGTATATACTACCCTTTGACTGCTTATAGTACAGACCATCATAACTTGAAGTATGTAGCTATTCTGGTGTCATTTCAACATTTGGATGCTGGTCGCTCTGAGCTTAATCAAGTTATGATGCTGGGATGCCTTGCATTATTTCGGATACACGCTTACGTGCATCATTCCTGTCACATTGATTTCACACCATTTGACATTGCAGGAATGACACAGATTAATATTATTCTACTTAGGGCTATATAACAACCACTCTCTGTCCATGCTTTCCCCTATCATGGCTTCCCTTTTGGTGATCCGAGAGTGCATTTAACTACTTTTTGTTTCTCTGGTTTTTGACATTGGATTGTTCTCAGCTATTTTTTGTTCTGTAATCCTGTACCTTGGCTTGTATCACTGTTGCTGTTAAATTCAATTATCCTCGACTCCAGATAATTATTGACTATTCTTTTACATTTCTACAGTTTTTTTATACTTTCTGTTAGCAATCACTTCTAAGGACTGGTAAAAATCTTTCTACTTGCCTAGGTGTTTCCTACGTACTACGTGTTGGAGCCTAGTATCGTGACATTTGCGCATTAGTTGAGCCATGACAGAGTGGCTCAAACTGATCAAAAATGATTTTACATTAACCGGGGTGACGGCACCTATGTGCCATATCTACTTCAAGGAGTTCTAGTGATTATGGTGTTTAGAGTGCCCCTTTAAGCATCACTCAGGGTTCAATGCCCTTTTGCAGATTATTATTAGTATTATAATACCAAAGTGCATTGCCGATGTATATTATTCACTAACTTACAGTGAATTGTAAACTTAATAGCAAACTTGACCAACATGAATTATTTTTACTTACATTTTGCTAATTATGCTGATATTAACAAAAAATTCAGTGTTTAGTGTATGAACTCCATAAATGTTTTGCCTGTGTTTTGACACTGCCAGTTTATTGACTTTTGCTAGTGTTTCAGTTTCATGTTTCCTGGAATAATGAACTTGGCTAGTTTAGTTACCACGTTTACTTTGTAATTGCCAGCTTTTGTTTCTTATTTCACTTGAGTTATTTTCTCTAAGGTCCTGTAATATCACTTGTTTTTTTTTTCGTTTTGGTGTTTGACCTATAATACTGAGTTTTGTTAAAAGCTTTGAATACAAACTAAAGCAAAAAAAAACGGTCACCCCCAAGGGGGACTGGTGGTGTGTCTGTGAACAAACCAATAGGGGGTAACCCTCACTTTAAATGCTAGAACAATAGAGAAAAAGGCCTCAGGGGCACTAGGCCGCCAAAGGTCAGTGGGTTAGTTTGCCACAACTCACTGTATTAAAATGAAACTTTATTAGATACTAAAAATAATTGTGTAATAAATCCATGCTCAAAACCAATAAGTGAAAAAATAATAGAAGTGAAAAAATGCAATAAAAACTTGTGACAGGCCGAACAGACCTACAGGGTCAGCAATGAAGCCACCAGAATGGTGGGGGAAATTAACCCTGGTCTAACAATAGACAGCTCATTTACTGTGCATTAGAGTTCAGGGAACAATGGGTGAGCCAGGCTAAGAAGAAAAAAGAAGGAACTGTAAGGGTACAAATACCCTCGATTATAGTGGTTGTGATACTATTAAGGAGTGGCACTAAAGATAATGAATATATCTAATATGTCATGAAATATACAGCTGCTGAAATACCATAAATAGTATCAAGGACGTGGAAATTATGTAGCTAAACAATGTGGAAAGTCATGGACCTAACGGTCTCTAACAGATACTTGTGATGGTAACAATGTTGCTAAATGCTAGATAACGTAAGAGCATACAGAATCAAACGGACCCTCGCTACAGTGAATTAGTGCAGCTTCATTGTAGTTGAAACAAAGCTAAACACTGATGATCTAGTGCACTAATGTAAAGTGCAATTACCCAAATTCAGTGAAAGCATTAAGCGCTTAACAGCGCAGTCCTGGTGGTCTATCAAACGGGTCGACGAGGAGGGGAGGATAGACACAGGCAGAGGGTAACAATAAAGACCTCTCCGACTACCTCCTCTAGACCTATCTGCCAGAAACATATAAAAAGATGGTTCTACTGGCTGAGACACATCGCCTCAGACGACTTTGTGACGCTTTTGAATACATCAGACCACCGGAAGGAGCCCACGGGAGACGTATGAAGGAGACCACCCGGGGCACTGGTGGGGCGGGGCACCTCGGAACGGGGATGAGAGACAAAGAATGACCGGATGGCTAAGCTACCCACATGCCTCCAAGCCACCTTCCCTCCCATACTCCCCCGCCTCCCCCTGTTTAAAATTTTTTCTCTCTCTCTCTCTCTCCATCTTCTACCTTTCCTCTCTCCTCCGTCACACGCAAGTGCCTGAAACAGGCCACACACAAACACAAACCCTAGGGGGAGACACACATGTACGCAGACATATGACCATACACAAAACCTCTACTGATTACATAACCTACAATCCCAGTAAAGCGCACAACCCCATACACTACCCACCAGCACACCAAGACTCGCGACAGAAGCTTCAGACCGAGACACCCAAAACCACACTAAACGGGAGAAGAACTACAGAATACACACGCAACATACAAGGCTGCACAGCCCCTCAACTATCGCACCACTACACACACACGTGAACACCACCATCACCAAGACAGAGCAGGCCCCGCTTGGGAAAACACAGGCATAAACCAACAATCCACCTGTATTAAACTACGCAAATGCATCATTGCCACACGGACACGATCACGCGAACCTATAATCATTGAGTCACGAAAACGCTCTCACTACTCACAACAAATATGAACAGGTGCACTGCCAATTTCAGCAAGAATACCGACACTACCCACCTGGATAATAGGAACAATATATCAACAAAAGGGTCACACCCGATGGCTAAACATATGCAAGTTCATATCAGATATACAATGCGCAGTGCCGCTGCGCAGGCACCAAAACGACTACATAGGATGTATACGCTAGGATTACACAGATAAAAGACAATCATACAAGCAACAAATTAGCTAACGCAAGACAACAATAAAAGCCAACTAACACAAAGCAACTACACAAACCAGCTAACACAAAGCAGTTATGCAAACCAGCTAACACAGAGCAACTACGCAAACCAGCCAACATGAGGCGACTACACGAACCAGCTAACAAAAAGTATTTACACAAACTAGCTACCACAAAACACCTACACTAACCAGCTCACACAAGACAAATACACAAACCCAAATCACAGTAGGTCCTGCAAACCGAGGAAATATGTCATAAAGTTCACAGAGTACACACTTGCCTCACTAAACTAACTGCACATGTTCCGTTTACATGTCTCAATATGTATACGCCTCTGCGTAAGCAACCATATGCTTTTATAATACTATGTTTGATGTCCGCATATACAATGTGACGACAATAAAAAACTATTTAAAACAGAATGTTCTGAATAGTGTTTGGAATGGCATTGGTTAGCATCCTGTGAGTCTGTTAAACTGCCTAGACTATACTTAAAAAGCAGACAAATATTTATGAGGTTCCATGGTTTGCATTAAAGGGACACTATAGTCACCCAGACCACTTCAGCCCAATAAACTGGTCTGGGTGCCAGGTCCCTCAGGCTTTAACCCTTAGGATGCAAACATAGCAGTTTCAGAGAAACTGCTATGTTTACATCTGGGGTTAAACCAGCCTCTAGTGGCTGTCTTCTGGACAGCCACTAGAGGCGCATCTGCGATGCTGGAGGCATATTATGCCTCCATCACGCAGCGCGTCCATAGGAAAGCATTGAGAACTGCTTTCCTATGGACACTTTGAATGTGCGCTCGGCACTGCCGCGCATGCGCATTCCGCTCCGCTGACGTCAGATGGGGGAGCTGACATCGGCGGGGGAGGAGAGGTAAGGGAGCCCGGTGGTGGAATAAGGTGAGTAACTGAAGGGGTTTTAACCCGTTTAGCACCACGGGAGGGGGACCCTGAGGGTGGGGGCACCCTCAGGGTACTATAGTGTCAGGAACCGATTTGTTTTCCTGACACTATAGTGATCCTTTAATTGGAAAAAACTCTCATTGTTTTATGGAAGTCAGTAAACATGTAGAAGTATGATGACTCTGTGATACATGCCAGTGTGCACAGTCTTGCGTTCAATCAAAGGACAAACAAAAAAGATGCAAACATATGCAAATTTGGTCAAAATCAGGATAGTGCATATATTGTGTTATTTAAGTAGTTATAGAAAACAAACAATTCTAAATATTATAGCCTCTCTGTATTACTTTGCATTCTATACATATAAGTGCAGCGCTGCGGAATCTGTGTGCGCTTTATAAATAGCAATAATAAATAAATAAATAAATAAATAAATAATAAGTAAATGCTACGTTTTAGTAATCTTTCTCTTGGCTCAGCCCTGCTCTGTAGGGCAATATGCACTGCCTGCCCTGTCCTTTATAGCCCTTGGCTACCTAAGCTCATACTCAGTCTTGGCGCTGTAAAAATGTAAGTAAAATACTATTTTAATATCTTTTTATGCTGAACGGCAGGGTGGGTGACTACCAGACCCATGGATAAGAGCACTAAAGCATTAGGAATACACATTTGCATTCCTAATGTTTTGGTGTTCCTTTCAATACTAGTTTGTACATGGAATTAATTCTAGTTCCTTGTCTGTATTCACTATGATGCCCCGTTGCAGTAGGGTAAACAATCATTGTCTTGCGCTGGTAACTATTTTTAAAAGGTTCGATGCTTTTAAATATATTTTTGAATGAATTATCTGAACTTAAAATGTTGCCATTATAACATTATATTTCATAAAACATACATAACTTTATTATTTAGAATGGATGCTCATTTTGCACTTTTTGAATCTGCAGAGTGTTTTAGAACAGGAGGAGTAATCAGGAGAGAGGAAATGTTGGATGGATTTCAATTTCAGGAAGGGTGATCAGATTTCATATAGGAAGGGTGAGTGAGCAGTAGGGGTGGAAAATAACAAACCACCAAGCTACAATACAATTAAAGGAACTAAACTGCTATACTTTTTATTTATGTTTACTGAAACATGAAGGTTACATGGATTATAGCATCTGTGCATATTTTTGCAATTTACACATATAAGTATATATTTATTGTTAGTGCATCTCCTGGCTTACCTTGGCTTTGTATGGGACACTATAGTCACCAAATCAACCTTAGCTTAAGGAAGCAGTTTAGTGTATAGATTATGCCTCTGAAGTCTCACTGCTCAGTTCTCTGCCATTTAAAAAGTTAAATAACTTTCTGTTCATACCACCCTAGCCACATCTCTAGCTGCAGCACTGGCAGTGACTCACACGCATTACAAAAAAATTATTTAATTTTCAATCCGTTAACTTACTTTAGATGTTTTTATCTCCTGCTCTGTAAGTTGAACTTTAATCACACACAGTAGGCTCCTGCAAGGTCTAGCAAGCCAATAACAGAGCAGGGGGTAGGAAATTCTAACTTAAACAGACGGTGCAATAAAGGAAGCGTAAACATTAGATCTCTCTTCACAGAAAGTATTTTGGAAGGCTGTGCAAGTCACATGCAGGGAGATGCGACTATGACTGCATAAACAAAGGGATTTAACTACTAAATACCAGAGAATCGAGCAGTGAGACTGCAGAGGTCCCTTTACAGTTTCCCTTTATGTCCACTTTGGCTAGAGGTATCCGCTATCTGCCAAGACATGAGTTAAAACCAGCACATTTTGGAAATGTCTAGCATTTCTGCATGACATCATGGTTTTTGAATATGCACTAACATTTACAGGGTTATTCACTTCAGTGAGAATTGTCATGAAGTTAAAGTGAATTTCACATTTAAGGCCAGAGTAGACAAACTGAAAGTGTAGATGACTTGGGTAATTTTTCAGTTTGGTTATTTTAGACTTACATTTAAAATTATTAATAATTAATTCCTGAAGGTTCTCAAAAAAGAAAAACCCTGGTAATTATTTGCAGGGGCTTTTGAACATAAATGTTGATTCTGGTTCAAGAGGATTTAAAGATGGCTGCCTCTTTAGAGAAATGATAAGACAGGAAATAAACTGAAATGCATTTATGTGTATTTATTATGAAATAATTCACACAGAGGATATAATACATGTAAGTTTTATTTCAAATAATGTAAAAATACAAAAATGTTCCTTTATAGGTGAATTCTGATAAACTTGCTTTTTATGACTTTGAACAATTCCATAAAATCAAAAATTAGAGAAGCCTCTATTACAGTGATCTCAAAGAAACCAAGAGGGGTCATTTTTAGCTGCCTGTAAAGTTTAAAGGGATACATCAATGTTTTACATCTCAGGGCTAAACACAAAACATCATTGAAATGGAGGAACAGCAATGTTTACGTTGCAGGGCTAAACACACCTCTAGTGGCTGTAACACTAACATCCACTAGATGGTGCTTCTTCATTGAGAACTGAGTCAGACTTGAAACATTACATGACGACACCGAAAGTTCAATCAATGCTTTTCATAGAGAGGCATTTGATTCAGAGCTTCTCTATGAGAAGCATTTGATTGGATGAGTGCAGTAGTTGCTGTGCATGTGCTTCTAGTCTACAAGAAACATTTAATTGGACGAGAAATTTAAAAGGAGAGAAGACAAAACAGAAGATGGAGTGGGGGACTTCATGGACTGAGTCTTGGTACTAGGAAGTAAAGGGTTATTTAGATTAAATTTTTAAACATAAAAGACTGGGTCTGGGTTTCACAATTAAGCGAGTAAACAAATTACATTAAAAAAAAATATATATATATATATATGGAAATATATATAATTTTTATAACAATAGTATCTTTGTTAATGTTAATGCAACCAATAGTCATCCTTTACAGAATATTTTGTTATATCAAAGTTATTTTATTTCTTATCCAGAACACTTTACAATGTATGCAACTAAACGGTGGCCATTATGCAAACAAGGGATAAATAATTAGGCACAGTGAAACAAAAGGGGAAGAAAACTTTGCCTGTGAGCTTAAAACCTAGAGAAAAAAAATGCACATTTAGACAAAAGGTTGTGCAGAGAAATAAAATTGTGAAGTAACACTTCAAATTCCTGAAGTGGTCATGTACTTGGAGTAACCCTTTAAGGGCTATGGGTAAAGTCTCTCTTTCCCTCTCGTTTTTATGAAAAGTCCTTTTTTTTATGAAAGAAAAATAAAAAAGGAGAATGACTGCTTAGCTATTTAGAGAGCAATCCATTACGGCAACTCAGCACGTTTCACATTTCACAGGTACACACACATATATATGTATGAGATTGTCTCACAGAAACACTGATTCACACACACAAACACTAACAAATACACATACAAAAACACAGACACTCACAGATATGTTCACACATGTTCATACAAATTCAGACACACAGAATCACACTCAGTCACAGAATCAGACACACACTCAGATCAACACACAGTCATAGATTCACACTGAGATGGAGAATATACTACTGTTCTGCCTACCAGCCACCACACTTCATAAAGATAAATAGAAAGAGCTGAGGCTGTGCACATTGCAGCTTCAATTGCAGTGAACCTATTTTGGGCATAAGCCTGGAGCTCCGTCAGCCCACATATCAATTTGGCCCTGCCCCTAGCCATCAATCATTATTTTTCCTCATCAAACATTTATTTTTCCGATGCTAAAGAAAGTCAGGCAGGATCACGAATCAAAAATATTTTCAACCATTGCACAGCTCATTTGGTTCATGAGTCAGCTACATTACGGCTTGGAGTTTGGGAATTCGACCAATCACCTGGTCCGCCCAAATTCGGAGGAATTGCCGTTTGAAGCAAGTTTCCAAGTCTACTTAATATTATAAATCTTTGACACTGTGTAAAATTTACCTCATTCGATTAATTCATTTGACATATTTTACATCAATTGCCTTTTAGAGACATACCATAAATATACCACAGTCTTATTCTGTGTACATATATTTAACATTTGAACTAACTTTCCATTTCACCTCACTATTGGTTTTAAAAAAGCATCTGCGCCAATCTGCACCAGATGGAATATATTTGAATAATTCCTAGAACTAAACTAACTAATAATTCTGACTTCCACACTAATGTTACATTTCTGGTGTGTTTTGAAAGTGTGTTAGATTGTAAAATTACAGTGGGTTTGTTCAGGCAGTGGTTACATTTTTATTTGTCTTTGTTTTCAGGAAGAAGCTATACATCTGCTGTTCTGTAGTCTCAGCCAGATCAGACTGGTTTCAACTGGTTCAGAGCAGTTTGTGAGTTTAACACCCGCAGGAGCTGCCTGGAATATCTGGAGCAGACTCTGATGGAAACATCAGATGGAACTGAATATTTACCGAACAAGCAACTATGTTGCCCAGACTGAGGCATGTGGAATGCTGAACATGCTAAACCACTAATACACTATCTACCACTACACCAGCTACGGGATCAATATAAAGTTTTTTATTTTAACCTATTTTTTGCCAGAATAAATGTACTGCAACGACTTGGTGATCTTTGTAAGTGGTTTCACAGCCCACTCCTGTGGTTTGTTAGTGCACATGTGTAGGTGTATGATATACTTTTAAATATACTTCACAATCTGCCTGTTATTTCAATGTGCATATCAATTCAAATTCTAGATTTCCAGGCCTGAGATTAGTGGGAGTTACACTCAGGAGAGGATCCAGGGCCCATATTCAGGAGCTGCACTGCTGGATTGGTTTTCAGATGATATATTTTTTGCACAAACATAGATAAACACACTTACAAACATAGATACAGTGACAAATGCCTACGTCTACGCTCACATATACACAGATTCATACATATGAAATAAACACAAATATCCACACCTGCATACATACACACAGATATATACAACCACATAGATATAGATACACAGATTCATATATAAAACATGGCTACAGGCATTGGATGAGGGTGGCCATTCATTCTGCTGTTGCTGCTGTTCAGACATATATTACATCTCTAGGGGGAGTATTGCCCTGGTGCTCCCCCTTTAACCACCACTGGTTAATGTAAATGAGTGTCTGTGACACCTGCCGATATTTTAAGTCAGTACTTCCCTCAGTAACGAAATTGTGGGAGAGGAGCTGTGGAGACAGAAATAGAGTGACTGTCTGTAGCTAATCCCCCGGCACATCTTTATTAGGGGAGGGGCTGAATCAATAGTGACATTTGCAAATAACACAGCACAGCAGTTTAACTCCCATTAATCTCACACATTTCAGATCTAACCCTGGCCTGAACCCTAATCCTTATTCTTTAAAATTATGTATAGAATAAGTGACGGAGGTGGGCAGGAGAGAAGGCAGGTTGCACAGAACACTGTGCAGGAGGAAGAACCCCTGTCAAGGTGGCAGACTCCCACTTCAAGGTCAGACTGTCTGACTGACAGCCTGCTCCCTCTAGCAGACCAAGCACAGAGTGCTGATAAAGAGCTCCCTGCATGGTCCTAGTGCCTTCCCTACATTTTGAAATCTGCTGGCAGATATTAACATGCAGGATAGTGCCCTAGAACCTATTTTTGCTGGGACTGTGCCCCAAAATGGCAAACTGTCACAGAAAATGTTGGACTTTTAATACCTCTAGAACCGTGGCACTAACTTTATTTAATTTTTTAAAAGTCATATAATGTAAAAAAAAAAAAAAAAAGGCTTTAGTCCATAGTGGTTTATTATGACGTCTCGAGAATCCCTTGATGGCATCAATCATTTCACTATAATACAGTGTGTGTATGTATGTATATATATATATATATATATATATATATATTTGTGCTCGGAATCTCTATTATGTTAATTGAATGTAGAGGAGAAGCAAAGTTGGTTGAGGTATGCTGAAACCAACGTACGAGTAGGCCTGTAAAAGAGAGGGCCCACAAAGAGAAATGTGTAAAGGAGGGTGTAAGTGGGTGGGGTCAAAACAGCTTGAACAGCAAAGGTAAGTAGGGGGGTAAGGTTTATAAAGGGTCATAACTCCTCCCACAAATTCAGGCCATATGGCCTTCCAACAGAGGTTGAAGGGGTGGGGGGTCAGCTTGTCAGTGCTCAGAGCATATGCCACACACTGCATCAAATTGTTCTGCATGGCTGTCATCCCAGAAGGAAGCCTCTTCTAAAGATGATGCACAAGAAAGCCCGCAAACAGTTTGCTGAAGACAAGCAGACTAAGGACATGGATTACTGGAACCATGTCATGTGGTCCGATGAGACCAAGATAAACTTATTTGATTCAGATGGTGTCAAGGGTGTGTGGTGGCAACCAGGTGAGGAGTACAAAGACAAGGGTATCTTGCCTACAGTCAAGCATGGTGGTGGGAGTGTTATGATCTGGGCTTGCATGAGCGCTGCCTGCACTGGGGAACTACAGTTCATTGAGGGAACCATGAATGCCAGCATGTACTGTGACATACTGAAGCAGAGCATGACCCCCCCCCCCTTTGGAGATTGGGCTGCAGGACAGTATTCCAACATGATAACAACCCCAAAAACACCTCCAAGACAACCACTGCCTTGCTAAAGAAGCTGAAGGTAAAGGTGATGGACTGGCCAAGCATGTCTCCATCTGTGGAGCATCCTTAAATGGAAGGTGGGGGAGGACAAGGTCTCTAACATCCACCAACTCCGTAATGTCGTCATGGAGGAGTGGAAGTGGACTCCAGTGGCAACCAGTGAAGCTCTGGCTCATGCCCATGAGGGTTAAGGCAGTGCTGGAAAATAATGGTGGCCACACAAAATATTGACACTTTGGACCCAATTTGGACATTTCCACTTAGGGGTGTACTCACTTTTTTTGCCAACGGTTTAGACATTAATGGCTGTGTTGAATTATTTTGAGGGGGCATCAAATTTACACTGTTATGCAGGCTGTACACTTACTGCTTTACATTTCTGCAAATTGTAATTTCTTCAGTGTTGTCACATTATTATTATTTTATTATTTATATAGCGCCAACAAATTCCATAGCGCTGTACAATGGGTGGATTAACAGACACATAATTGAGATCAGACCACTGACGTACAGGAACAGAGGGGGTTGAGGACCCTGCTCGATGAGCTTACATGCTAGAGGAAGTGGGGTATAGTGACACAAAGGGTTAAAGTAGGGGAATTAAATAGTTTGTTACAGAAGGGTTTATTGAGTGCTTGGTAGGTCATTTTTGACAGGTGCAGGAACGGAGTAATGGGGTCTGGATGAGAAACCTGCTGACAGTTTAATTGATACACTTTAATGAAGAAGTGAGTTTTCAAAGATTTTTTTGAAGGAGTGGAGGCTGGGTGAAAGTCTGATTGAGGAGGGAAGGGAGTTCCACAGAATAGGTGCAGCCCTGTAGAAGTCTTGAAGGCGAGCATCAGAAGTGGGGATCCGGGCAGAGGATAGGCGTAGGTCTTGGGCTGAGCGCAAGGGTCTCGACGGGACATACTTGTGTATGAGGTAGGATAGGTATGTTGGAGCAGCATTATGTAGGGATTTGTAAGCAAGCGCCAGAATTTTGAATTGGGCCCTATATCTAACTGGAAGCCAATGCAGGGACTAGACGTGGAGGCGTGGGAGGTGCGACCGGACAGGAAAATAAGCCTCGCAGCCGCATTCATTATAGATTGCAGCGGTGCAAGCTGGGAACATGTAAGACCGGTGAGAAGGGGATTGCAATAGTCAAGGCGAGAGAGAACAACAGCATGAACCAGTACCTTAGCCGCGTCCGGCGTTAGATATGGGCGGATGCGCGCTATGTTCTTGAGTTGGAAGTGACAGGATTTGGCTATCGATTGAACATGGGGAGTAAAAGAGAGATCAGAATCAAAAAGAACCTCTAGGCAGCGGGCCTGGGAGGTAGAGGTGATAGTAGCGCCGTTGACTTGGATGGAGACAGACACAGGAGTAGCAGCACTTGAGGGAGGAAAAACTAGAAGTTCTGTTTTGGACAGGTTGAGTTTAAGGAAGTGAGCAGCCATCCAGTTGGAAATAGCAGCGAGGCAGTCAGAAACACGAGTCAAGGTGGGCGGAGAGAGATCAGGGGAGGACAGGTAGATTTGCGTGTCATCTGCATATAAATGGTATTGGACACCAAAGGAGCTGATGAGTTTACCAAGGGAGGCAGTATAGATAGAGAACAGTAGGGGGCAGAGGACAGAACCTTGGGGGACGCCGACAGGGAGGGGCTGGGGAGAAGAGGCAGAGCCAGAGAAAGAAGCACTGAAAGAGCGCTGGGAGAGGTAGGAGGAGCACCAGGAGAGAGCAGTATCCCATAGACCAAAGTTGTGAAGAAGCTGTTGATGATCAACAGTGTCAAAGGCGGCAGAAAGATCAAAGAGGATTAGGATAGAGTATTGGCCGCGAGATTTAGCAGCAATTAAATCGTTGGATACTTTGGTCACAGCAGTTTCGACAGAGTGACCAGCACGGAATCCAGACTGAAGGGGGTCAAGCAGAGAGTTGGATTCGAGAAAGTCTGTCAATCTGGCGTAGACAACTCTCTCGAGGATCTTGGAGGCAAATGGCAGTAGCGAGATAGGGCGGTAGTTGGATGGGGAGTTGGGATCAAGGTTGGGCTTTTTCAGAATTGGGGTTACGGTTGCATGTTTGAAGGCAGAGGGAAATGTGCCAGAGGAAAGGGAGAGATTGAAAATGTTAGCGAGAGGAAGAGCAAGAGAGGGAGACAAAGTGCGGATGAGATGCGAGGGAATAGGATCGAGGGAGCAGGTGGTGGGGCGGGAGGACAGGAGCAGAGCAGAAACCTCTTGTGCTGTAGCAGGTTAATATTTTATTATATCACACGAAAAGATATAATAAAATATTAACAAAAATGTGAGGGGTGTACTCACTTTTGTGAGATAATTACCATATTGTATTTACTAAAGGACAAGATTTGCCCTTATAGCATTTGGGTGATTATATGGGGGGGGCGCATTACTGCTCATGACGCAAGCGTAAAGACAATGGCAGGCACCAGGAAAACACTACCATGCATGCACGTATGTGCTTATTAAAACTACAATCCCCATAATGCCACAAAAGGACAAGTCGCGACGCATCACTTCCAGACGACGTGCGAGACTTGAAATCAACAAGGGACACTTACACTTCTGAGGAAGTCCTGTTGAGTGAAAAGCGTAAAGTGTGTTTTGGAGCTCTTTATTTTGTTGATATCGGTTTTAAATATTGCTGAATAAATTAAATTATTTTGTATAAGTCCATTTTTATTTTTTATTGTTTTTGTTGCTGATCTACAGTCTTGGTTTCTGCAAAATCCCAGGTGGGGATTGTGCCACCAAAGTTATATACACTAGAGCAAATTACTGTTCTTGAAATTCTAAGTTGAATACCTTTTTTTTTTCTTTAATACTATGTTTATATGTACTTGCTACATAATTGGAGATTTTTGATGTTGGAGTATTACTGTACTAGATATACATCTGCGTGGATCTTCATATATATTGAGACAGGATTGTACCATCCATGCACTATATAGCAGAGCTCTTAGTAGCTCAGCAAAGTGTGAGTTGAACACCCATATATTTTAAATAATACTCCACTACAGATCTGACAAAGTATTATCTGTATATTGTTCTTTAAGGTTTTGTGAAAACTGAAATTGCCGTTCTTTGATTGCTAATAAGTGTATGTATGTTTATATATATATATATATACACACACACACACATACACACACAATTTGCACTATAAGGTCACTTGAAGCACTGGTTTTAGCTGTTTGGTTCTTCTGGCACAGTAGATCACTCTTGTTTTTACACTTAGTTTTAATATGTACCTGCAAAAAAAATTATTAACAAATAAGTTCTTTAGCTGTCAAATCCTACTCTGAATTTTGACCCACCATGTATAAGTTCTTTATCATCACCTACTCTCATGATCCAAAACTACTCTTTTAAACCTTCAACACATTACTTCAGCTCATTGCTGCTAGACTTAGGCGGGTCATCTGCTTTTGTAACATCTCTCACCAAAATGTTCAATTTGTCTCTTACGTCTGGTATCTTTCCCACCCAGTTTGCTACTGTCACACACAACTTAAAAAAGATTTCACTCTATGCACATTCCCAATACAAGGTCTGTGCCAGCTTCCTACTACAGAAACATAGAAACATTGAATGTGACGGCAGAGAAGAACCATTCTGCCCATCAAGTCTGCCCAATTGTCTAAATGCTTTCATTAGTCCTTGGCCTTATTCTATAGTTAGGATAGCCTTATGCCTATCCCACGCATGCTTATACTTCTATAGAAGCATAGAATGTGACGGCAGATAAGAGCTGCTTACCTCTAACCTTATTGAATGACAAGTACATTCCAGGCTGTCCAACCTTCAACTGAAACAATGTGACCAATGACTTGACCACCTCTTAATCCAAATTCTATAGTACTCCTCTATCTCTCTGCTGCTTTTAACACTGTGCATCACTGACTTCTTCTCCTCTGCCCCAACGACCGTGGTCTGCTTGACTATGCTCTTTTATGATTTTCCTCTTACCTTTCACAGCACACTTTTTTTGTCTTCCATCCTCCTCTTTACTACCTCTTTTTCCTGTCGTTCTTCAAGGCTCTGTTCTTTGCCCACTTCTGTTCTAATCTTACACTGCCTCGTTAACATAATTAACTAGTTTGTTTTTTTAATGCCACGACTTTGCTTCTTTCTCCTCCATCTTCAAATGGATAGGTGCTCACTTTGCTCACTTTTAAAACTCAAACCTTGCTCATTTCCCATCCCGTAGGCTCTCTTCAATTCTGCCACTCTCATCTTAAAGTCATAGTTTGTATCCACCTCTTTTCAACACCTGATACATTTAAAATGCTTGTCCCATTGTGCCTACTGTAACTTGCACCTCACTGGTTTTGATTATGCCCATATTACTCTTATAGAATCTATTATGAATGCCATAGCCAAACCAACCAACTCGTACTCCGCTAATACCTCAATCCATTGTGCATACTGGCTCCTATACATTCCTGGATTCAATGCAAAATCCTAGTTATTACATATAAAACACTTAATAATAGAAACCTAGCTAACAAATCATCATTACTATAGATGTCCAATCCTGACCACTCTGCTCTGCTGTTGACCTATGCCTCTCTTGGTTCATACATGCACTGCTAACTCATTTTTGGACATTTCTAGGGCTAAACATATGTCACGGAATTACATTACTCTGCCGGCTAGGCTTTCCCAGACTTTTCAATAATTTAAAGCAGTTTAGTCGCCACCCTCCAAAATGAGTATATAAAATCTCTGTGAAATACTCACTTTGTGTTGGAATGTGTTGGAATTTCTCTGAAATTCCAATCCAGTACAAAGATATACTAAGACAAAGTGGGGGACTACAACACTGACGTTGGGCTCATGGCAGATGAAGCACCAGGAGCTGAAGAGGACCAGCAAGAACACCATGGCAGCGGCCATGAGGGACAGGTTCAGGTAAGTAAAATTCATCTTCTTCGCAGGCCCAGTGGAGTCGTCATCATTAGGGGTCTTTGCAAATTGTGCAAAGACCCCAGACAGTGACAGGGCAGCTTTAAGAAAACATTAAAAACCTATTTTTTAGGAAGGTGAAATGGAAATCAATCAATAAATTGATTATGCTTTGTGTATCTGCCCCGGGCCAAATTAAGAAACAATGCATGCACGCTCCCTGAAGTAATTCACACCAGACACAGGTTTCAGGTTGATGAATAACTTGAGGTATGTTTATTCAGAGGGGACGGCAGGTCCCTTTTAAAGCAAAATTACATCATAAGCATTGTCAGCGATAACATGAAATAATACATCAATAATTGGTTAGGTGTTAAGTGGTCTTCTTAATGCTCTGCCTACTAAGGGTGATGTCACTGGAACCATGAGGGTCTCCCCCGGGTTCCAGCACCATCTTGTTACACAAGGTAGTTAGTCGGTGTTATAGGGAGGAAGGGGTTAGAAGCTTCTTGTGGTCATTTTGTCTAAATATACGTGAATAGCTTATACACTGATTTCAGTTAAATGAGTAAATAGTCATTTTACTAACTAGAAAATATGTCAATATCTCATTTCCACAACAGTCCCCCCTTAAAATGGCTATTTACGATAACAACTGTTACTGTCCCTAGCATGTCCCTAGCTGCCTGCAGCTCATCTGTCTTAACAAGCATCGAACTCTTCACTCCGTGGGTAACCCGCGGTAGCTAGTCCACCACATCTCCGCACGTGAAACTTGCCTGTAGAGACAGACGCTTTCCCTACAGGAAAGCAGTTGTCTGTTTAAATTGGTGGGATTGGAGGGGTGTATGTGGTGTGTCACATTCTAGGTCAGTGACGTCCTGGTGTAGGAAAGTAGGGGTTACGTTGTCTATAGCCTTCCCTACTGTCTTCTGTAAGTACTTTTGTATACAAGGAAGTACACAACAGGTTAGAAATAGGAAGATGATGATCATTATGAGAACTGCTGTCCCAACCTGGAATAGGGTTCTCTGCCAACCATTCATCCATCCAAACCATCTGTCGCAGGTATCAATGACTCCTGAGTTCTTTCTTAGTTCATCTGAAAGGCTATCTAGTTTCTCTATAGCCATAGTCACCTTTCCATTGGGCCCAGTGTTATCTGGAATAAATGTACAGCATGTCATAGTTTCGGGGAGGATTTTACATACGCCCCCCTTTTCTGCTAAGATCATATCCAGAGCCATTCTATTTTGAAATGTCATTTGGGTGGTAGCTTGCAGCTGTTCTGCTAGGCCCTGTAGGGCATCCCTGGTATAGGTAACGAACCGCTGCTGATTGTAATAGATATAATTAATCCCATTGACATTCTTATTAGCAGTGATCATCGGAATCAAAGATTCAAACCCGGCTGCCACTTCATCCCTTGCCTTGAATTCGTTGGGCACCCCCCTTGGCACACCAATGGCATCAATATAAACATGTGGATCAAAGCTTCCACGGATTGGGGCTTCCCTCCTGACTCTGGAGTGTGTGTGCGCGGGATCTAACACATTGTGATAGCCATCCGGGATAATGTGGATAGGCATTATGGCTTTAGTTAATGTACATTCCCCCCACCATAGCCCCGCCAGTTGGGATCTCAGTTGTTTATCACCACACAGCCAATATATGTCCCCAACTGTTTTTGCATGATTCATTAATAATGCTATGGGTGGATTATGATAGGTGGAGCAATAACCAGATGGGAATTTGCCCATGAATGTACCTGCGTTCTTAGGTATTGAATAACAAGTGTAGTTACCTGGATATACAGTGACTCCGTCAGGTGGTCTAACGTGCCCCTGGATGATTGGGTAGACCTTTTTCCATGACTCACACGTTGAAGAATTAGTAGTGGATTGTGCATAGAGACTCAAGACACATAATTCAACATCGGGGGGTAGGTTTAAAGGCACCGTACCCAGGTGGGGCCTGGCTCCTCCACATACATAACAATTAGTCTTATTGTGTGAGTTAGCGTTATATCTCATCCATTCCAGCCATAAGTTAGTGTCTGAGAACCCAGTTTCCACTGCCATCGTGTCTTCGAAAGTAGGATTGGCTATAGCTACCATATCATGTAAAGTCTTGATATGTGGTTTCAGTGGGTTAACAGTCATGTGAGTAGTTCCTACCCAGTCAGGTGAGGTAAGCATATCTTGCAGATAGAATGTCCCCAACTTGTTGTATGAGCCACCTCCCCTCCAGTACATGCCCATTACATATTCCCCTGCATCTTTTGGACTAGGATGCTCTATGTTCAGTGTGAGTTTGATGGGGGTTTACCCAATAGGTTTACTTAAGGTCATTCTGGAGAGTAGGGGTTTCCTGTCTTTGTCAATTCTGTCTGGGGCACTCTGGGGCTTATAGCCCCATGGTCTACCCGTGTTCCACCCAGCCGCCTTCCATGAACTACAATGATGTCCCCAGGACCCTCCAGTCACACAAATGTATGGGTCTTTGTTACTGGGTATGTCCTTGTATATAGCAGCATATTGTGTTTGTGGAAAGGTGCAGGTGACAATATCACAATAATCAAAAGAAAAGGTAGCCATATCTGTGTTTGAGGAATTGTACCAAAAGGTATAAACATGGTTATCTTTAGTTATAGCCACTTGTTGAGCCCCTGTAAAGTTTAGCAGCAAGAGAAAACACAAGGAACACAGAAAACTCATAGCTCGGCAGGGGCAACTTCTTCTGGAGCAGGCACTTTTTTGCAGTGTAAGGCGTGTATCCAGGAACTCTTTCCTGCCAGTTTCACTGAGGTAGCTGTAATCAGTAGCACTTGGTAAGGACCATCAAATCTTGGCTCAAGGGTGGGTTTCCTGAGGAATTTCTTGACCATAACCCAGTCACCAGGGAGCAACTTGTGTGTACCTGTATTCGACTCAGGATCTGGAATAGAAGAAAACACTTGGGCATGGATTTTGGTCAAGGCATGAGAGAGAGCAGTTACATAATCTACCATTGCATCTGACTGAATCTGGAGTTGTTGGGGGAAGTAACAACCTAACCTTGGTGCTGTGCCGAACAGGATCTCATAGGGGTGAACCTTACACTAAATAATGCTAATGGAAGACTCTCAGGCCAGGGCATGTTAGTTTCTTGGGACATCTTAAGCATTCTGGCCTTCAATGTGCCATTCATGCGTTCTACTTTACCGCTACTCTGTGCGTGATATGGTGTGTGGAAGGCAAGGGTCACCCCCAGTGCTGACCAGACTTCCTGTGTCAATGAGGCGGTGAAGGAGGTTCCTTGGTCGCTTTCAATCACTTCTGGAACTCCATACCGGCAGACAATTTCCGTCAGAAGATGTTTAGCTGTGGTCCTTGTGGTAAGATTAGCCACTGGGAAAGCTTCTGGCTACCCTGAGAACATATCCACAATGACTAGTGCGTATTCATAACTTCCACTCTTTGGCATCTGGATGTGGTCAATCTGTATCCTCTGGAAAGGGTACTGGGGCTTGGCCAAGTGATTGGGTGCAGTTTTAACGATCTTTCCAGGGTTGCATTTAGCACAAATTGTACAGGATCTACAATAGTTCTGTGTCAGAGTAGTAATACCTGGTGCCATCAAAGTATTTATCAATCAGAGAGTTCATCAAATGTTTTGACAGATGGGCTGGCCCATGAGCCCATTGGACAACAGCTGGATACATGTTCTTGGAAAGGCAGAACTTAAGATTGATGGTATAAACATCATCTCGGAGGATAGCCCCTCTGTTCTTCCAACTTTGCTTCTCTTGAGGGGTGGCAGCTGCTTGTTGCTCCTTTAGAAGTCTAAGATCTGTAAGTAATGTCTGCATAGTGTAGATGGATTTCAGTGGCCACTCTTCTGTCCACTTTCCACCCTTGTCGTGCTGCTTCCTTGGTGGCTTGGTCAGCTAAATGGTTGCCTCGTGCTTCCTCTGAATTTAGTCTCCCATGGGCTTTTACTTTTAACACTGCCACTTCTGCAGGAAGTACCAAAGCATCCATCAGTCCTTCAATGGCCGCCCCATGTTTCACCGGAGTACCGGTAGCTGTGAGAAATCCTCTAGTTTTCCAAATTAGGCCAAAATCGTGTGCCACTCCCAGGGCATATCTCGAATCTGTATAAATATTGACACGTAGACCTTCAGATAGTTTGCAGGCCACTGTGAGGGCTGTTAGCTCGGCCTCTTGAGCTTATTTAGTTGGCGGAAGTGCGGCTGCCTGTAATATTTGGCTTTCTGTAGTAACTGCATACCCAGTGTGATATTGCCCTTGTTCATCAGCAACTCTGGAACCATCCACAAACAGTGTTTGGTCTGGAGTAAGCAGAGCAGTCTCGTGTACAGTTGGTAAATGGGTAGTTTCCATCTTCATCTGTTCAAAGCAATCATGAGGGGTTTCTGAGTCATGTTCCGGGAAGGTAGGTCTTCACAAATTTCTGTATGGTATCTAGGATATCCAACTGTACTGCAGTTGATAATCTTTTTAGTTACTCCCATAGAGTCCAGTTGTTCCTGGGTTGTTGCACTCCAGGACTTGGCCATTGGGTCTAAATCTTTCCATGAGAGATCAGGGGACTTGGTGAGGGATACGTGTGGGACAGCTGTCTCCCAATGATGGTAGAGGTGGGATGCTTCTGCTGGGAGGTGTACCAGCAGGACCATGTTGCCTCTGGGGTCCCACAACAAGTCTGTCAGTGTGATGTGAATTTCCACGAGCTGAAATTCTTCTTCTTCATAATCCACATCAGGGCCTGGGCTGTCTTTGAACCACAAGGTACAGTGTAGCAAGTTCTCTGGTTGTACATCATGTGGAGGTGCAGGAGGTGTAAGAGTAGGTAGAGATGCTTGGGTTGAACTTGTTGAAGGATGGCAGAAATGTCATGAGGAGCCAAGACGGTCAGAGTGTGACCAGTAACAAAGTCATTGGTTTTGTCCAGCAAGGCACTGGCAGCAAACACTGCCCTCAGGCAAGAGGGACTACCTCTGACTACGGGGTCAAGCATGCAGGAGAAGTAGCCAATGGGTCTCTGTCTGAAGCCATGTTTTTGAGTAAGAACGCCGGAAGCGTGGCCCAATTTTTCAGACACAAACAACTTGAAGGGCAGCTGATAGTTCGGTAGGCCCAAGGCTGGCGCAGAAGCAATGGATTTCTTCAGGGCAGTGAAGCAGGCAATGGCATGTGGTGAGAGTGAGAAGGGCTCGCTCTTCAGGGCATCGTAGAGTGGTTGCATTAGCTGGGAGGCTTCTGGAATCCAGGATCTGCAATACGTGATGAGGCCTAAAAAGCCATGGAGAGACTGATGAGCTGCAGGTAATGGTAGATTCAAGATGGCTAAGATCCTTTGTTTGGTGAAGTGACGGGTGCCATGGGAGAGGCAATGTCCCAAGAAGACCACAGAGGGCCGGCACCACTGGAGTTTTGATTTGGAGACAAGCAAGGAAGCAGAGGAGGTCCTCAGAATCTCGTTCAGCAGTCTGGAGATCAGCAGCACAGAGAAGTAAGTCATCAACATATTGAAGCAGGACTACATCTGAGTAAGTCTTTTGCCAGGGTTCCAGAACCATTGACATGGCGCGGGCAAACTGAGTGGGGGAATTTTGAGCCCCCTGAGGCATGACAGTCCATGTGTATTGCTGACCTTCGTGGGTAAAGGCAAAGAGGTGTTGACAGGATGGGTCAAGGGGCACACTGAAAAATGCATTAGCAAGATCTACCACAGTAAAGACTGTAGCAGTGGGTGGAACCTGGGACAGCAGGGTATGTGGATTTGGAACAATTGCAGTATCCTTGATGGTTACTTCATTAACAGCACGTAAATCCTGGACCATACGGTACTGATCAGGTTGCCCCTTTTCAGTTTTCTTCTTAACAGGGAAGAGGGGAATGTTGCATGGTGACACACACTTGACAAGGGCACCTTTAGCTAGGAGGCTTTCCACTTGCTTGGAAATGGCGAGTGCCTGGGCGGGTTTCAGTGGATACTGGGGTCTTCGGGGAGGCGCAACTCCCTGCAGTAGTGTGACCACAACGGGGGGAACTTTAAGGCGTCCAATATCATCAGGGCCAGTGGACCAGAGCTTTGCAGGGATCTTTTCCAGAGCACTGGGGGCATGAGGGACCCTTGATTCCCCTGGGGGAGATGCAAGATGTAGTAGTATGGGGATGGAACAAAGTGCTGAAGTATCTTTCCGTGACAGGGGTGTATTTAAGTGAACTTGGCCGTCTGCAGTAAAAGTAATGGACGCTTGTAGACGGGACAGAACATCAGCACCCAAAAGGTTAATGGGGCACGTGGAGGAGACAACAAACCGGGAGAGGATATCTGACCCCACATGGAGGAGTTTTGTGAGTGGGCTACTGCAAGAGACATCGGTATCAGACAGGAAAGATGGGTCAGGCAGGTCTTGTTCTCTAAGAACACTACAGGCTGCACTTGTGTCAACTAGGAAAGTAGTGGGATGACCCTCTACGGGTAGAACTACAGTAGCTAGTGGCCCACCCCCATCCCCTGTAGACACTGCCATGGCAGGGGTAGCTGACACAGGCTTGCCGGTTACCTATTGCAATAAGTCTAAATGAGCCTGGTCAGGGCCAGTATAACGGCGTGAGGAGGTGGCGGGGAGGCTCGCCTGAAGGGCAGGGCGGGCAGTACGGCTCTGTCTAGGGATGGGCCGACCCTCTTGAAAATCATCAGTGTCAAACCCATCAGCAGGAGCTGGAGGGTAAGCACGGGCATCTGCAGGTGGTGGGGGAGCCTGAGAATATTCAGGAGGCGTAAAATGTGAAACTGGGGGAGGGGGTGGTGGTTGAAAGTACCCTGGAGGGAGATATCCATAAGTAGTGGCTGAAGGGTTAGAAAACCGGGGGAGCAGTGGTCGAAACAACCTTGGATGGGGACATTCCCTCCGGAAGTGGCCGACCTGGTGACAGTTATAACAGGTCCTGGTTGCCGTGGGTGTCCTGTCTCGTGTAGGAGTTGGGGTCTGTGGCACGTAGCCATGGGTGGCATGGGCAGGTCCTGTGATAGGTGTTGTGGCGGTAAACATCAGTGGGTTAGCTCTTCTCTGTACAGGTTGTAACACTGACTAGACCTTTAGCAACCAACAAAAGGGTGTCTAGGGGGATGATTCTATACTCAGGGCGTGAGAGGATTAAACCTTTACGGATGTGTTCCTTCAGACCAGCCACGAAGGCTGCAGACAACATCTGGGTGTGTGCTTTGTTATATGTACTAAACCCTAAGTCTGAAAAGGTCTGGGTTAGACATGAATGATATTTCTCAACTGACTCAAGCTTGTCCTGAACAATGTCATTTATACAAGTGGCTTGGTCAGTTAGCTTGTCTTGTGCCCAAGCATGAAGTTGCTCACAAAATGTAATAACGGACTGGAAGTCTGTATCAGTGGTGAGAGGAGCATCACTGAAACTCCTCGCCATTATTGGCCAGTAGGCATCACCAGCTTTTATTTCACACAAACTATAGAGATCTCTCCAAGCAGCGGAGTATGTTTTGCGAATGTGAGCCATTCTGCAGAAGAAGGGCATCGGATGTTTCTCTGGGTCAGGGAGGGAGGTAACCAAGGTGGCAGCTTGTGAGGGGTTAAACGTGACATACATAGGTGGTGCAGCGACAGGGGATACCTGGGGGTGCACTCCGGAGGTGATCTGTCTCCGTGGGAGTATATTACTCCAAGGGTGGAGTGGGCCATGCTCTTCTACATCAACCTCCCCGGGAGTAACAGGGCCCTGATGGGAAGCAGCATCAAGGGAGGCGGGGGCTGGGACGGCCGGAGTGGCAGGGGTCGGGAGTCCCGTGATGGGTGACGTGGTTGGATGGAAACCTGAGGCTGGCGGGGAGACACCCATCGCATAGGGTTGGCCCGAAGTTACTGACTCATCGGAACCGACCAACATAAGTGGGTAACTAGTGCTCACGGGGGGAGTATAGGGAACCAGAGCCATGGAAGGGGCAGGGGTGGGAGCAGGTTGGGTCGGACGTGACAAGTGAGTATTTAAGACATGGGCTAAGGTGGAGATTGTGTCAGAGGCGTCAGGAGCTAGTGGAGAGGGGGAAGGCAAAGCAGGAGGACCCGGAGTAGGGGGTTGGGGCGTAGCTGTAGCATCGAGAGGTGTAGGAGGAGGGACAGGAGTAGTGGGACGAGCCAAGGATGAGAGGACGGAAAGGAGTGACGACAGGTCAGCGGCAGGAGGGAGGGAATCAGAGGTGGTAGGGGAAGGGATAGGAGTAGAGGGGGTGGAAGCAGTAGGACGGGCTAAGGCTGTAAGGGCGGAGAGAAGAGATGAGAGGTCAGTAGGAGGAGAAGATGAAGACGACGTAGTGGAAGGAGTAGGGGCGGGGACAGTAGGATGGGTTAGGGTTGAGAGGGTGGAGAGAAGGGACAAAAGGTCAGTATGAAGAGGGGAAGAGGAAGAACCAGAGGATGCAGGGGGAGAGACAGGGAGAGATGGCGTGGGGATGGTAGGATGGGTTAAGGCTGAGAGGGCGGAGAGGAAGGACGAGAGGTCAGTAGGAGGAGAGGAAGGAGAAGGAGAATCAGCAGTTGCAGGGGGAGGGATAGGAGTAGTAGGGGTGGAGTTAGTAGGATGGGTTAAGGCTGAGAGGGCAGAGAGAAGGGACGAGAGGTCAGTAGGAGGAGAAGAAAGAGGAGAAGAATTGGCAGATGCAGAGGGAGGGATAGGAGTAGTAGGGGTGGGGACAGTAGGATGGGTTAGGGTTGAGTGGGCGGAGAGAAGGGATGAGAAGTCAGTAGGAGGGGAGGAAGGAGAAGGAGAATCAGCAGATGCAGGGGAAGGGATAGGGTCAGTAGGGGTGGAGATAGTAGGATGGGTTAGGGCTGAGAGGGCAGAGAGAAGAGATGAGAGGTCCGTGGGAGGAGAAGAGGAAGAAGAAGAAGAACAGACTGGGGCAGTCGGGGTAGTAGGGGGATGGGGCGGGGCAAGGATATTGGGAGGTAGAGCAGGAGCTGACGGGGCGGGATCGGTAATGGGGGGAGGGAGGGCTGAGGTAGGAACAGATAAAGACAGTGGGAGGGGCGGAGGACAAGGAGGTGGAGGAAGTGGAGGGACATCAGAGGGGGTGACTGGGAGGAGGGGCGATGACAGGGCCTGGTTGGGGACAGTGGGAAGCTGGGAAAATGACTGGGGCGTAGGAGCATGCGGGAAGGAATGGATTGGCACTGGGTAGTAATAGGCACCATCGGCTCCGAGCACAGGACACAGGGGTGTGGGGACCTGACTTACACCCCCGGGGGGTGGTGTCTGGGCGGTAACGGGGGAAGCTGGGCAGGAATTAATCACCACGCTCTGGGCGCCATCATAGGGCGGTGGTCGGGAAGCAGTGGGAGATACATAGTCATTACAAACATTTCGGTGATACACGTAAATTGTTTGTCCCTCAAAGTCTAATTCTTCCTCTGTCCAACCCTCCCATTTGAGACCTCTAGCGACCCGATACCAAGCCACCACAGCTTTTGTCAACCCATTATCCAGCAATAAACCCTCCTTATCTACAAGCAGTTTCCTCCAGAACTCGGGTTGCAGCCTACCACTAGGCGACATTTGGAAGCCACTTACCTTGGCTATTTTCTTAATTTTCAACATTGCATCTTCTCCTGCTCTTTCTTTTACAATATCACAAGCCAAGAATCCCTTAGCAGGTCTAGTGTGTTCCTGCCCCATCTTAACCAAACAAAGAGAGCCACGTGTTATTGACAGATATATAGAGAAAAAGAATTAGGAATGTCTACAGTGCTCGACTGCCACGGGGACTTGGGTCCCATGTGTCTTCCCCAAACGTAGACTAGTCACGAGGGTCCGCCCACCCGAGATGGTGGCCACGAACCGGAGCGAGCGAGCGTGGGTGACTAACACAGCTCTGGGCAACAGACACAAGAGAGGTAGAGAATAAAGGAGAAGATAAACGTGGCAACACTAACCAAAAGGCATTTACAGAAATCGCACACATAGAGATGAGTGTAAACCCCAGAATCCAGGATCAGACACACGACACACGCGCACACACCGAGGGTACCCACACTGTAGCAGCAGTTAAACAGCATCCACATAATGACAGAGAGTAATATGGCCATGTACATATTAAAACAGCATACACCAAACAACAATAGTAATAACCCCAGCCTTCCTCACTAGGCTGTAACTCTGTAATCTGACCTTTTACCGGGTCTACAATAGAAACATAAAACCCCACCTTCCACTAGGTGGTACCCAGCCTTGCGTCGGCTGTAACCCAGCCCCTTACCAGCTGTACTCAATATCCCAACCCTGTTACCCGGGTTGTACCCAGCCCCTTACTGGCTATATGCGTTCCCTGCCCGCTAGGCAGTCAAGCTAAGATTATAAAAAGAACCGGCCGTCACACACATTCATACAAACACACAGGAGGCAGATAGACAATCGTCAGGTTCATTAGAAAGAGGCACCGGATGAGATATTGCCTGTCTCTTGTAGCCTTCTGGAAGCCAGAAGTGGACGCGGAGACAGTCTGACACAAAACAGGAGAATACAGACAACGGCTGTATTGTGGAGGTGATCAGGCTCCGGTTGTCCCACTTTCCGGAGGTCCGCTCCGGTCCGTTGGTTTCCGGCCCTCCGAACCGGCAAATCTGGTGGCCCCACGTTGGGCGCCAATTGAAATGGAAATCAATCAATAAATTGATTATTCTTTGTGTATCTGCCCCTGGCCAAATTAAGGAACAACGCGTGCACGCTCCCTGAAGTAATTCACACCAGACACAGGTTTCAGGTTGATGAATGTTTATTCAGAGGGGACGGCAGGTCCCTTTTAAAGCAAAATTACATCATAAGCATTGTCAGAGATAACATGAAATAATACATCAATAATTGGTTAGGTGTTAAGTGGTCTTCTTAATGCTCTGCCTACTAAGGGTGATGTCACTGGAACCATGAGGATCTCCCCCGGGTTCCAGCGCCATTTTGTTACACAAGGTAGTTAGTCTGTGTTATAGGGAGGGAGGGGTTAGAAGCTTCTAGTGGCCATTTTGTCTAAATATGCGTGAATAGCTTATACACTGATTTCAGTTAAATGAGTAAATAGGCATTTTACTAACTAGAAAATATGTCAATATCTCATTTCCACAACAGAAGGCATATAAAATAACCAATTAACTTCTGTCCTCTGACATATTCTCAGAGTTGGATTGCCCATAAACTGGCATAGGCAGTCGCCTAGGCTCAGATAGGGGCCTGGCTGATACTTGTCTGAGCCTGGTGCTCTGGTTATGACTGTGAGGGGACACTCCTTGAGCCAGCAGAGAGATCACAAGATCTTCTTGCTCTGACTTGTGCCACTTCACCTATTCAAAGGCTCTCTATCAGGAGCAGTTCACTTTAAGAGTTCGGGCACTTCTCAGTGCCTTAGAGCTCTGCGAGTCATTAACTGAGTACAAAAGCTCTTAAAGTAATATGCATGTGATATCTGTGTAGATCGCAATGCTCCCTCACTAGACATCCAGGCATCCTGCACACAGTGTGCCTCCACTGGATCACCCAGGATAACACTGGCCTTCTCCAAAAGCTAAGCAGGATAGGGGCAAAAGAAAAAAACTTTCACACACTTAAACACTACACACATACACAACACTCAGTCACACTCAGACTCAACTAAACACACACACAAAACAGTCAAATTCCTCCATACACTAAATTCAGCCACCTCACATAACACTCAATCATCACACAGAGGCACTCTCAGCAACCCTGCATGCAGCTCTCAGCCATCTATACACACACAAAACCCAGCCACTACACACACACACACACCAGTCTCCCACACACAAATGCAACACTCGGTCAACACACACACACACACAACATTCACACAGCAAAGCTCACGGCTCCTGGAGGGGGCCCCAATTTGGCCTCCTGCCAAAGGTCCTGGGTAGCCTAAATCTGTCTCTCCATTCTTTAACATACTGTTTACAGACTATGCTAACATTACAAATGCAACACATTTCTACATGGAACAAAATGTACTTCTATTTTGTAGATTTCTAAGGTTTTTTTTTTGGGGGGGGGGAGGTTTATTTCCTCCTAAATGGCACACCTGGAGTTTGTTATCTGCTTTTGGAATGTCTAGCTCCAATCCCCATATGGTGAGATCTTTTGTACATTTCTTTATTTTTTTTTGGCAAATCTAAGAGTGGACACAGTGTAATATTGTGGACAATTCACAAAATGTACTCTGCCTGCTTCAACTACTGTGTAACTGTAATCTAACTCCTTTAGACCCTAGCTACCTCTTGTTCTTGTCAGACTTGTGAATTGAACTTATTTGTATATCTGGTGACCGTATTGTACAATGCTGTGGAATATATATATATATATATATATACACACATATATATATATATATATATGTGGTTGGGCAATACTGCTGTAATGGTTAGATAACATATAATTAGTAATAACATCCTAGTTAATAACACCAGTCGGTTGTGGTGTGCCGAACCGACAAGACAGTAGGCCTGTAATAAAGAGGGCCAACCTTAGAGGGTGATGTGAATAAAGGGAGTGGTGGGACGGGTAACTCGCCAGACCAACCACAATAATGTGGGAGAGAATTGGATGCCCTTATGAAGGGGACCCAAGCCCCTCCCACAAATACAGGTCCAGCCTTAAATTTGTGATCGGGGCAATATTGCCGTAATGGTTAGATAACATATAATTAGTAATAACATCCTAGTTAATAACACCAGTCGGTTGTGGTGTGCCGGAAACGACAAGGCAATAGGCCTGTAATAAAGAGGGGAAAAAAAGAAGTGTACCATACAAAATATATACGTTCTACCATACCCCACAATTACTTGGACAGTGGGCAGAGAGACACCCATCAGGCCAACTCGCCGACAAGTAAACGGACCCACGAAACAGACAGGCTCCCGGCAGCAACAGGAGCAGGACCGATGGCACAGCGAAACCACGAGGTTGGAGAAATCCAGCAGTCGGCAAACGCAAAAAAAACGGAGAGCAAGCCAGGAGACCGGACCACGTGGATACGGGTGAGTGTAACTCGGCAGACCAATTACCGTGGTAGAGGATTGGATGCCCTTATGAAGGGGACCAAAGCCCCTTCCACAACTACAGGCCCAGCCTTAAATATATATAAAATCAAAGCATCGATTTATAAGATCGACAAGATTAATTGAAACATACATGATTACAGACTCTTATACACACTCTCACAGAGACATATGCAGCTTCAATGCAGATTTTCATTAACCTTTTGTGGTCCTACGTCAAAATACAGGGAGTGCAGAATTATTAGGCAAATGAGTATTTTGACCACATCATCCTCTTTATGCATGTTGTCTTACTCCAAGCTGTATAGGCTCGAAAGCCTACTACCAATTAAGCATATTAGGTGATGTGCATCTCTGTAATGAGAAGGGGTGTGGTCTAATGACATCAACACCCTATATCAGGTGTGCATAATTATTAGGCAACTTCCTTTCCTTTGGCAAAATGGGTCAAAAGAAGGACTTGACAGGCTCAGAAAAGTAAAAAATAGTGAGATATCTTGCAGAGGGATGCAGCACTCTTAAAATTGCAAAGCTTCTGAAGCGTGATCATCGAACAATCAAGCGTTTCATTCAAAATAGTCAACAGGGTCGCAAGAAGCGTGTGGAAAAACCAAGGCGCAAAATAACTGCCCATGAACTGAGAAAAGTCAAGCGTGCAGCTGCCACGATGCCACTTGCCACCAGTTTGGCCATATTTCAGAGCTGCAACATCACTGGAGTGCCCAAAAGCACAAGGTGTGCAATACTCAGAGACATGGCCAAGGTAAGAAAGGCTGAAAGACGACCACCACTGAACAAGACACACAAGCTGAAACGTCAAGACTGGGCCAAGAAATATCTCAAGACTGATTTTTCTAAGGTTTTATGGACTGATGAAATGAGAGTGAGTCTTGATGGGCCAGATGGATGGGCCCGTGGCTGGATTGGTAAAGGGCAGAGAGCTCCAGTCCGACTCAGACGCCAGCAAGGTGGAGGTGGAGTACTGGTTTGGGCTGGTATCATCAAAGATGAGCTTGTGGGGCCTTTTCGGGTTGAGGATGGAGTCAAGCTAAACTCCCAGTCCTACTGCCAGTTCCTGGAAGACACCTTCTTCAAGCAGTGGTACAGGAAGAAGTCTGCATCCTTCAAGAAAAACATGATTTTCATGCAGGACAATGCTCCATCACACGCGTCCAAGTACTCCACAGCGTGGCTGGCAAGAAAGGGTATAAAAGAAGAAAATCTAATGACATGGCCTCCTTGTTCACCTGATCTGAACCCCATTGAGAACCTGTGGTCCATCATCAAATGTGAGATTTACAAGGAGGGAAAACAGTACACCTCTCTGAACAGTGTCTGGGAGGCTGTGGTTGCTGCTGCACGCAATGTTGATGGTGAACAGATCAAAACACTGACAGAATCCATGGATGGCAGGCTTTTGAGTGTCCTTGCAAAGAAAGGTGGCTATATTGGTCACTGATTTGTTTTTGTTTTGTTTTTGAATGTCAGAAATGTATATTTGTGAATGTTGAGATGTTATATTGGTTTCACTGGTAATAATAAATAATTGAAATGGGTATATATTTGTTTTTTGTTAAGTTGCCTAATAATTATGCACAGTAATAGTCACCTGCACACACAGATATCCCCCTAACATAGCTATAACTAAAAACAAACTAAAAACTACTTCCAAAAATATTCAGCTTTGATATTAATGAGTTTTTTGGGTTCATTGAGAACATGGTTGTTGTTCAATAATAAAATTAATCCTCAAAAATACAACTTGCCTAATAATTCTGCACTCCCTGTATATCTGACAAAATATTCTACCTTTTGCTTTCCAATGTCGGACTTTCCCTGGATAGTACCACCGATCCTCCATACCAGGTGCCGCGGATGTGTGCATTCCGACATTGACCACAATAGGTATATTTTTGGGGGATATTTTCCGACATAGGACCCAAAAGAGTTAAAGACCATCAGTCTCTTCTCATACTTACACTTACTTACTGCCATACACCCTCACTGACATTCAAATTCTCAATGACACATACACTGATACATGTACAGCTAAATAAATAATTCTCCCCCCTTTGCTTCTCCCTCTCCTAACCACACCTGGACCATACCTTCCCTACCCTACAGGCCTTCTCCCCAATTGCAGAACAGGAGGTGGCAGCGCTTCTCCCCTCGTCCCACCACCTGTCCACTTGATCCAGTACCTTCCCACCTTATCAGATCTCTCTCCCCTTGTATTTGTGCCATCCTTAACACACATACTAAACAGCTCTTTCATCTGGTGTTGTCCCTGCTCCTCTTAAGCATGCTCCTGTTGTACCCATCCTAAAAAAGCCATCCCTAGACCTGTCTTCCCCTTCCAACTATCGTCCCATTTTTCTGCTTCCTTTTTCCTCACAGCTTCTAGAAAGACTTGTCTTTACTAGTTTGACTCACTTTCAACTCCTTCCTTAATTCTCTTTATTCTGGCTTTTACCCCCTCCACTCTACTGAGACTGCTCTTATTAAAGTTACAAATGACTTAATCACAGCTAAATCCAAAGGCCACTACTGAAAGGCCACTACTCCATACTAATTCTTTTTGACCTCTATGCCACTTTTGACACTGTTGATTAAGTTCTCCTTCTCCAAACTCTTTAATCTCTTGGTCTCTGTGACACTGTCCTCTCGAGGTTCTCCTCCTATCTCTCCCAACAATAGTTCAGTGTCTCCTTTTGCAATTACACCTCCTCCTCTCATCCTGTCTCGGTTGGAGTCCCCCAAGGATCTATTCTTGGTCACCTTCGGTTCTCTCTTTATACTGCCTCTCTTAGCAAACTCATTAACTCCTTTGGATTCTGCTACCATCTGTATGCCGACGACACTCAGATATATCTCCCCTCCACGACCAGATTAACAGCCCAGTGGGCCTGGTGCTGACAATTATGACGGGCCTAATTAAAGAATCATATCGACCAAAAACACTTAAACACTCCCAAGCGTCATGTATCTGATGGAGATGGTGCTGGAGAGAAAGAAAACAGCAGCTATAAGAAAACACATACCCTATGCTAATCTCCCTCTAACTTATGTTTTCATCTTTCAAGTAAATCCATAATCCCTAACAGCAGTGTCCAGACAAGCAGGAAGTCAAAGGGCACGGTAAAAGGGTGTGCCACTGACACAAATCACGTAACCTGCCAAAAGGGGCAAACATGCCCAAAAAGAGGACATGTCTGCCCAAAGAATTTGAAAGCCAGCCTGGCATGAATGCATGTCAGACTGCCTGCCAATCATGCAGCTGGCCAACTAAGGGCATACTATGCAGACAGCACCATGAGCTTGGCATAAATGCATCTAATGATGCGCTCACTCAACGCTTTCTAAAGAACTGTCCCATAGCACTCGCTGGTCCACTTGTCTCCTTACCTTCTTACTAGCAGGCAGAAGCTGCTGGTATATAGTCTGGGACAGAGAAAAGCTGTATGTAGTGAGTGTAGAAGAAAGGGAACATGCCACAGTGTTAGAGAGACCAAAGTCAGCATTACATTAAAGGATCACTATAGGGTCAGGAACACAAACATGAATTCCTGACCCTATAGTGTTAACACCACCATCTAACCCCCCTGGGCCCCTCATGCCTCCATAAATATGTAAAAATCTTACTGTATTCAAGCCTGAAGCTGTAACTCTGCATGCTGTTAGACTCAGAAAAACAAGCAGTCTGCTGACATCATAGAAGTGGTGGCCTGATCCAATCACAGTGCTTCCCCATAGGATTGGCTGAGACTGACAAAACAGCAGATATGGGGCAGAGCCAGCATGATTCAAACTCAGCCCTGACAAATCAGCATCTCCTCATAGAGATGAATTGAATAAATGTATCTCTATGAGGAAAGTTCAGTGTCTGCATGCAGATTGAGGAGACACTGAATGTTTGGATGCATTTTAGGCAGCCATGACCCAGGAAGGATCTCTAACAGCCATCCAAGGAGTGGCCAGTGAAGTTATCACTAGGCTGTAATGTAAAGACTGCATTTTCTCTGAAAAGACAGTGTTTACAGCAAAAAGCCTGAAGGTAATGATTCTACTAACCAGAACAAATTCAATAAACTGTAGTTGTTCTTGTGACTATAGTGTCCCTTTAACTATTTTCATTGTCAGCCAGTCCACACAAGTTTTGTTCCCATACATCCCTCTTGAGTCTCCATACTTAAGTAAGAGTATGTGAAAAGTAGTTAGGGTTGCCACCTTTCTTGGAACAACATACCGGCCTTACTAATTTGCATAATTAAATATGTATGGGTGACATCACATGATGTAAATCACAAGGAGTGACGTAAGAGAAAATGCTGTAAAATCACCAAAAAACTACTTAGTTGGATTATGCTGTATAGATGGATTCCTCCCAGTGCCCCCATGTTTCCCAGTGCCCCCATGTGTCGATTACTCCAGGTCTCAGCGTTCCTATGTATCAGTGTCTCAGTGTCCCCAGGTCTCCCAGTGACCCTATGTATTACAGTGTCCCTATGTATCACAGTGTCTCAATGCCCCATGTCTCCCTGTGTCCTCCAGTATTCCCATGTGTCTATGTCCCCATGTATGTGTCACTAGGACACTAGGAAGACGGGGAGACCTGGGGACACGGGGAGACCTAGGGACACAGAGACGCCAGTGACACTGGGAAACTAGTTGACAATGGCTGGGACACATGGGGACACTGGGAAAATAGGGGACACTTGAAGACATGGGGACACAGACACTAGAGACACTGGCTGGGGGACATGGGGACATTGAGACATGGGGCACTGGGAGACATGGGGACACAGACACCACGGCCACAGACACTAGGTACACTAGCTTGGAGACATGGGGACATTGAGACACTTGAGGCACTAGGAGACATGGGGACAGTGAGACACTGGGAGACTAGGGGTCACTGGGAGACTAGGGGGCACTGAGACACCAGGGACACTGGCTGGGAGACATGGGGACACTGTGTCCCCATGTGTCTGTGTCATTATGTCTCCCAATGTCCCTTAGAGTTTCAGTGTCTGCCATAATGTCTCCTAGTGTCCCTTAGTATCTCAGTGTATGTCTCCTTGCAGCCTTTCCCCCATCCCTTACTTCCCTGAGCTGTAGGCTGTCTCTGCAGGGTGGGAGTTGCTGTCTGGACTCTCAGTAGCTGCACCCCTGCAGATCAGTGAGTATAGATAGGCAGGGAGGGATATGCTGGAATTTCCTATCCCTGCTTGTCTCCACACACAGCGACCCCTACTGGCCAGTGCTGGTACTGCATAGTAATCTCTTGTTTATACTGAGAAAAATACCAGCATTTGTATTGCCAATATCACTGCAATATTGGCACCAGCCAGGCAGCCTCAAATACTGGCTGTGCCAATAAAATAAAAGCCAGGTGGAATCCCTAAGAGTAGTGTGTGAAAAAAAAAAATGTAAAAAAATTTTTTTTTTATTATTTTTTTTTTAAAATCAATGGGCCTGTTCCATGGGCCTGGGCCTGGAGCTGCAGCTCCATCAGCCCCTATGTTAATCCGGCCCTGCTCCCCTCCCCTGATCTCTCCCACACGGTCCTACAACGTGTCACTGCTTGCCTTTCTTCAATCTCTGATTGGATGTCCTCTGGTTTTTGAAACGTAAGCTCTCTAAAACTGAGCTTCTCTTTTTTCCCCCTCATAATGCTGATCCTCCTCCTTCGCTTTCCCTGCAAGTTGATAGTACTAGCATCAGTACGTCCTTGCAAGCTCATTGTCTTGGTGTTATCTTTGATCCTGGCCTCACCTTTCCACCTCATATCGAGAATGTTGCTAAAACCTGCCAATTACACCTTAAAAACATTGACCGCATCCCTCATCAAGATGTTGCCAAGGAGCTTGCTCATGCTCTGGTAATCTTCCCACTTATATAACTGGCATGCCCACTTGCTGGCTACATTCCATGACTGCTGACTCCTTCAATCACCAAATCCCGTTACCCTTCCATTCCCAATAAGTAACGCAACACGATGTTAAATGGATTAGGGCAACGGCCACAGCTTTATTTAAACCAGCATAACCAAATACTGTCAGTTGCTGGTTTTACCCAGCAGACAGGTACATTTTAAACTCCTCCCAGAGCCTCTTCAGCCTGTCCTTCATGATCAACCAAATTCAGGCTGCGACTGCCCAAGCCCGTCCAGGCATTATTCATTTACCAAACTTGCTGGCGCAGGAAACTGGCCACCGCAGACCCAACCCCTACTAGAGGGAGGGGGGTGGGTCCCCCAAAGCTAGCTCCTTTGTATTTATTAATTGTAACCTGTTGTGGAAATAAGGTCTTGATATATTTCTTAGTTAGTAAAATGTCTATTTACTCATCTCACAAAATCAGTATATAAGCTATACACGCATATATAGTCAAAATGGCTGCTAGAAGCTTCTAACCCCTCCTCCCCAATAACACCGACTAACTACCTCGTGCAGCAAGATGGCGCTGGGAAACCGTGGGAGACCCTCATGGTCCCAGTGACATCACCCTTAGTAGGCAGAGTATTAGGAAGACCACTTAACACCTAACCAATTATTGATGTATTATTCCATGTTATCTCTGACAGTGCCTATGATGTAATTGTGCTTTAAAAGGGACTTGCCGTCCCCTCTGAATAAACATTCCTCAAGTTATTCAACAACCTGGAACCTGTGTCTGGTGTGAATTACTTCAGGGAGCGTGCACGCATTGTTTAATTAATTTTGCCAGGGGCAGATACACAAAGAAATAATCAATTTATTGGTTGATTTTTCCATTTCATAACCCAATATTAAATGTATCCAAACCGACATGGGTAAGATGTATTAAATCAGTACACATACAATTATGGTTATCTCCTTCTAGTTTAACATGAGGAATCACCAATCCACCCAGGCATGTTATTGTCATGGTGAAGAGACATCCACGTCACTATACCCCTTTTTGTGTTGCGCACTCTTGACCCAGGTAATTACCACCAGCGTGGATCAGTAGAATCAGCAATATAACTGGTTCCATCACATATCATCGAAGCGATCACTCCAGATAAAATTCCTGCCAGCGCAATTCCCTAATTCCACACCACCTAACATTGACCTGGTAAAGAGTAATCCCAAGATCCTGGTCATATGACCTCTGGTCTACCTGACAAGCTGGCCAATATATAAAAGAATGCCCAAGGATCCAAACATATAGAGACTATCTAGCAATAAAAAAATAAACCGAACATTAAACATACCCAGGCACCCATAAAAGCACCTTACAAGGACCGAACATACAATCGAAAACCAGCTTGATTCCCACCGACCCAGCAGCTAAATGGAAGAGTCTGACAGACCTAACCAGCTTGCCTGCAGAGTCAGACCGATGCAGAATGAATGAGTTAAATAACCACTATCATCCACTCCTAACGATTGCAATACAGTATCATCCACTCCTAACGAGCTCAACACCAACATAAACACTCTAGTGAATGGATAAGAACAATTCATGCATGCACTGGAACGAATCTCCAAATTATGGTCGCTCCAATCCTAATCACTCTACCACTACCCGTTTGATCAGTATTAGATTGCCAAATTAGAAATTTCACATCTTTTTTTAAACTAAAGAACCTCCTTCCTAAAATGGGGTGACTGAGCTCTAGAACTCCACCAATCTGCCGACCCATAGAGTTGCATAAAAACACACAGAAAAGGCCAGCTGAAACAGATTGTACTCCAACAGGGAAACATAAATAGCAGGCATTTGCTTTGACTCCCAGCAAGTGCACAAATACAGGATGCCTAACGACCGCCATCAGTTTACGTCTGTTTACGTCTGTGCCTTACCCTCCGAACCACAAATGCTTTAGTCACATCTTCCCCTCACATGAAGTCCATTAATATTGAAAGAGCTGACATACCCTGTTCCACTGACATGGATGTCCCTCGATCCCGCAAGTCAGAAAGAAAGGCTAAGTGGATAACAACCTACTTTCTGAAGAAGACCAACCAAATTGATCCCACACCATCAGGTATGTTGCCCAAGACTCAGGAGACAGGCACCTCTCAATCAAGTCAGTCAAGTTCTGAAACTGAGGTTCCAGAAGCATTAAGGGTCCTCCACAAGCCTCTGCCTCTGGAGTCACCTCCTGAAATTCATCCTACTGGAAGCGAGAAAGAGAGTCGGCAATACATTAGACACACCTGGCACCTGCACCCAAACATTAAATTTCAAGCAATGCAGAACCAACCGTCACAATAAGGCCCATCCCGGAAGAGAACCCAAAGATAACTAGTTAACAACATGAACTGCACTAAGGTTATCTGTACGGAAAAGAACCTGCACTACATTCAGGAATAGCACCAAAAAGGAATCTAACCACGCCAATGGCCGCACAGCATAGCCCTCAGAAAAAGCACCAAAACCAATTGAGCCGCAGCCTCCGTGAACAGCTCAAAGGCCAAAATTCAAACAGCCAAAATTCAAATGGCCCTGTAGGGCTTGCAGAATTCAAATAACCCAATAGGGAGCCTCTTGAACCTGATCCATTAGATATGACAACCTGAAGCTTGGTCTCCGGCAAGTAAATCCCCAGGAAGAAATAATCGTACTAGGACCCTCCATTTTCTCCTCAGCCACTGGAGCCCCAAAATCCACCATAAGCCTATGAAAGTGGACTAGTGCAGAAAGAGATTGACAAACCAGATTACACAAACCACTACACTGGAATTAGCCAGACCGACAAACAAGAAGTCCTCAAGATAGTGAAGGAGGGAATAACAGCCCGACACGCGCGCCACGATCCATTCCAACAAGGAACTGAAAACTTCAAAATAAAAACAAGAAATCAAAAACAACCCATGAGAAGGCACATGTCACAGAAAAATCACTTTGAAACTGACACCCCAACAGATGAAAACAATCTGGGTGAACTGGCAGCAACCGAAAAGCCGACTGGATATTGGACGTCGGCAACAGAGCCCCGGGTCCTACTTTGCGAACAAAATCCAAAGCCCGATCGAAAGAAGTGTATCGCACCCGACAGTCCTCTTTTGAAATCCCATCGAGAACCGAGGACCCTGACGGATAAGACAGATTTCGGCCATACACCCCAGCTCCACCTCCTTCCCTAGCTCGGCTGCCAGGACCCCCTCCTTACCCCGAACAGAGGACAGGTTAGGTGCAATGACGCCTCCCCCGACGGAATAAATGGGAATGCCTGAGATATAGTGCGAGCCACGGCACCTGTCTTTCCGCTCTCACTGGTGTCCTCTCCCAGAGGAACATCATCCTTGGACGTCGACCTCGGGAGGGGTTTCCATCTCTTAAAACAACGGACGGCTGGGTGAGCCCCACCACAGTAGGAGCACTCATGCTTAAACCTACAACTGCTATATCCTCTGCAGTGGCTCTCATTAAAGAGCCACCAGATGTCTTTCTTGTGACCCGCCGACGCTCCTCCGGAAGTGCCAGCGGCCGACAGGGATTATTGAGAAGCAACCACAGGTTTCTGTTTTTGCACACCGAAATCCTGAGGCCTAACCGCCATATTTTACATTTTTGCTAAACTGCTGGTCGTATTTAAACCAGCATTGCCCTCTGTAGACCGTATGAGCCCCCCAAATCAAGTCCAAATACAAAAACAGTGACAGGGCCTTTTCTGGAAACCTAGCTGATTGGATGCTAGCATAGTTAGCAAATCCTTGCAACCAATTCCCAAAGGTATAGGGGAGCTGCTTACCTTTTTCGCCCTCAGCTACATTGCACCTATGGGGTCTATTCATCGACTCCATGTCAAATGGGACCAAGTAGAGTATAAGACATTATAAATGCAAAATTAAATTTAGTATCTTTTCTCTCACCACCACGCGTAACCCCAGGTGGGCAATGTCACAGACAGGTTCCCTTGAAGTACTCACCTCATCTCTACCTGAAGGGGGAGCCCCAGAGGGAAGCGCTCCGCAGGCACCAACCAGCCAAGCACTAAACGCAGCAATTGCACCAATTCCCCTTGACCCCCCCACTAGCCCTGATTCCCTCCCTATCTCCTGCCAAGCGCAAGCGCACTCCAACTCACGGTTCAGGAGAAGGGGTCTCTCTATCCCAGGCTCCAGTTCCGATCCTTCTTGCTGTGAGGGTGCTGCAGTCCGCCTGCCTGCTGTTCCGCCAGGGGACCGGCGGCCCACACCCCAGGGAGTTCCGGTCCATCCATGCCAGGCATGTGGAGGGGAATAGTAAGAAAAAGAGTGGGAGAAGGGTCAGCACTAATATAAAAATATAGGCAGCGGCCAAAAAAGGGTAACCCTCAAACCCTCTGAAGATAAAACATGTGACACAAAAAACAGAAGAAGGGCTGTGCCAAGAGGTAGGTATTAGTAATAAACGTAGTAATAATAGTATATACACAATAGTCCTAAGACAATATAATTAGTATAGTCTCACTAACTCAGTGGGACTAAGGTTCTAATAAAATCACCAAAAAGATTAAATAAAAGCCAAAAACAAAGTCTCACACAGAGGTAAATGTCTTTATGGAGTGCTGGATTTGGGGTGTAGTGTCCTCAATTGCTTAAGTTGTTCAGCCTCCTTGCTCGTATGTAAAACAAGAATGGAAAAAGCCAATGGTGCAATATGTACTGACAAATTAAGATAAACTAAATGGATAAGTAAGATCAACTCACATTTAAAAGAGCTCTATCCAGCTCGGGTGTGAAGAGCGTACAGCGGTATAATCCCCGCTTAAAGGATGTGTGATAGGAGTCCTCCAGAGGGGTGATGTCCAACACTCAGGAGAGGAAAAAATAAAAGACAACTAATAGTACCCTCAGTAAAATAAAAATGCAATAAACATAAGTAAAATTGTACTCACACGTGGATGGAGTGCAGGCAAACTGCACTATGGTATCAGCGTGGGTGGTATGATCCCCACCTCAGGATATACTTAGAGTCACACAAAGATAAAAGCAGGTAAAAGTAGGCCAGGCAAAAAAATTCCAAATATAAAAATGTGTAATTCAAAAGATGATTGGCACAATCTTGTAACCAAAAAACCTTTTATTAAGAAAATTACACAATTAAAATAACCAATGGTAATTTTCCCAGAATTCCCTGCTTTCAACTGTAAAACCAACTGTATCATTTTGGTTGCTATGCCAACCCCTCAGGGCAGCAGTCATGCTCCCCCCTCCCTATTCGCTTCGGGGGCTAACCTTACTGCCCCTCCCTCCCTTTGGCTCCTATCCAAGGTCCATATCTTTATGTATAGATGAGTATGGGAAAGTGTTGAACTGAATGTTTATTAACAGTGCATTTTAGGTAAAAATCCTTGTTTGTATTAAACAAAAATGTCTGCTGAATCTTCTTCAGCTTGAATTAGACGTGGCTGGATAAATTAACTCAATTGTGTCCTGTTTCACTGACATGGAATAAACTTGCCTAGTTAATGGCACTTTACCAGAGATTGGTATACAATTATTATTATCTATGGGCAGAATTTAATAAAGCGCAGAGTGCCGCCGCATATTGGCTGAGAGTGGTCAGCTGACACTCTCAGCCAATCAGTGACTCCCCATTCACTAAACTGACTTGGAAAAGTCAGTTTAGTGAATAGAGAGTCACTGATTGGCTGAGAGGATCAGCTGATCCCTCTCAGCCAATCAGAGGCGGCACTCCACGCTTCTTGAAAGTGAAAATTCAGAAGCCAAATGCTGACGGGGGAGTGGAAATCACTGCTGGAGGCAACTTTGGGGTTAAACTGTTTGAGAACAGTTGAACTTTTTTTGGTAAAACTGCCTTCAGGGGCCTCCTGACACCATAACAACTTCATTTAGATTAAGTTTTTTTTTGTGCATGGAACGTTCCTTTAAGGCATTGGAAAACCTTCCATAGTGGAAGGATAGTAGTTCAGCCATTTTGTCAGCAGAGGGCAGTGTATAAAGGCACACTGAATATATAAATACATATCTATATATCTATCTATATATTCATAAATATATATATATATAGTCACACACAGTGCTATATTAGCGTTGTATTAATAATTAACTGAAAATTAATGTAGATGTGCATAAAATGAAGATATATATTTTATATGATTTCAACTATCATCTAGTATGTAAAGCAAAGCATATTAACATATTTTATATAATTTAAGACTTTAATATGTAGAATATTCCTTATATGGTTTGAGAATTAGCATAGGAAGACTATATAAAGCAGGATGAAAAAGAATAAATAACTCCACCCTATTTTATCATCAAACGTTTAAAAAAAAAAAAAAAACCACAAGTGCATTTACATAATTAAGAGATCATAAATGCAAAATTAAATATATACATTGAGAGAACATTTTTTGAAAGGTAATCAAGGTGTACAAATGTCATATGGATCAGTAAGGATTACATTAAGAGTGAAAAGATCACAAATACAAAATCTGGGTGCAGTGTATGCAGTGCCATTTCAACGGTAAATTTATCTAAACCCATGTGACTTTTTGACATCATGGAATTTTTTTTTAAAGCAGATAGAATGATCTGGAAGATGTCTGCATGACTGATGCACGTGACCAGCTAATTTATCTTCCCTCATGCACACAGAACACAAAGATAAGCAGCAGACTACTAAATCATTCCCTTCCCCCAAGATGGATAAAGACATGATAAATATACAGACAGGGCTAACACACACAAACACACACAAACAGAAAATGGATAGGATGCATCACTGAACATCGTGTTTTTTGCTCTAAATCAAAAGAACAAGGGAAACTATTATGCAGAGATCCCTCCTCCTCACACAATTGGACAAATGAACAGCACTGAAAGACCATTTCCTCTGCATGCAGATGTAAGCAAATAGATTTATATCCTATGTAGACACCTTGTCTGCATCATTTATACATCATAGAGCACATAACAAACAGGTCATAAGGCACAATCTGTTCTATAAGCAGCATCTATAAGACAATAAATAAATAATATACTCACAACATAACGCTGTGGAGTAGGATGTGAATGAGCAGACAGAGCATTACAAGTCTTTATTTATTGCTCACATTTATGTGAGTGCACTTAGTAATGGCCTGCTGATTTAGACAGTGTTTGGACAGAAACATGGATTAATTTCTAGAAAATACAGATAAGCATCCTTCATGAAATCAGTTCTTTCTCATGTGGCGATCTGAGATTTAGGTAACTCATGATGAATTTAAGATTAAAATAATCAAACTAGAAAATATTTCTAAATCAGCCATGGTTTCAGTTCGGCTACTCTGGCTTTAAATTTGAAATACACTTTGAATTCAATTGGAATTCTCTCGTTAGTAAATAACCCTATCTATAGTCAGATTTGGATTATCCATTAGGCAGCATAGGCGCCCACCTAGGACTGGATTCAGACAGGAGCTTGGAGCTCTGATTCTATCTTCCCAAGCCTGCAGGAAGAACAGAAGATCTCCCTGCTCACAGCGGGATTGTTGTAGTCTGCACAGAGCTAGTTCTGGAGTATTGGAGTCTGTCACATCAATGGTGGCATAGAATTTAAATGAGAGAAGAAAAAAATGTATTCTCCTTCTCTCCCAGTATAGTGACAGAAATATCCCTGTGCAGCCACAGGAGGTCAGGTGGGTGTATATGGTGTCACCACCATTAACATCACACGGCTAGCTGTGTACATCGAGAGATCAAGATTCTTAAGTGTGTGGCTCCTCTTGTGAATTTAGCGGCTGTCCTGTGCAGCTCCAACTTCCTTAAAATAGAAATTCAGACGGAGCCACCACACACAGGCACAGCCTCTCCCCGCTAGCCCCCCTCTCCTACATAATAATTTCAGCCTCCTCCACACACATAACACTTAACCACCACACACAACACTCACAGAAACAGAGGTGTGACATACTGCCTAGGGTCCTGGACACATTTAATATAGCACTGCATAGCTACTCACAAACTGTGGTAATCAAACAGATCTTATAGTCAGTTTGATTTAAAAAACAAACAAAAAACTTGAGGCTCATGTACATGTAAGGAGTATGAACAGAGGAAAGAAGCAAGTCTTATGTAGAGTGCAGAGGCCTGTGTAGGACATGCTTGTGCATTAGTGAGGACAGGTAGATAGGAGCATCGTTATGAAGAGATTTGAAAGCAAGGACCAGAATTTTAAATTGAGCCATATAGATCTTATGGGAGACCACTGTACGGGCTGACAGATGGGGTGGGAGTGTTCTTTTATTAAAGAAAACTTTGATTGTGCAATGTAAGACACGGGACAATAACAATTTCAGGGCCTATCACATCATCCTGGGGCTCCTAAGAAAAACCTCTCTGTTCCACAGTATTAATTTATTATAAAAATCACTTATTCTGCACAATCTGACAGTCTTTTGCATATGAGCAGTCCTGATTGTCTAAAGGCTGACGGTCATCCTTGGGAGAAAGCACCATGCTGACACACTTCTTTCACAACTATGACATCACCAGAGACCTAAACTGCATCACTGCATCCAATACCGGCTTTAACATTGGCAAGGTATGCAATCAACATAAATAGTTGAATTTAAAAAAAAATAAAAAAAAATTCAGAAGAGAACATATATATCTTTTCCATGTCACTCACACGCAGACTACCATTTTAAAAACTTACACAAAAAAAGCATTTTGTATTGTTACACTTTAATGTTTCACAGCGTATAGCCATTTGATATATTTAATATAAATCGACAATAAGTAGCGTGAACAATATTAAAAAACAAACCCTAGTGCACACACCACATTATACCTGCACACACTGGTTATCAAAAAGGGAAATAAAATGGTCTAAACACATAGTTAACCCTTCACACACAAAAAGCTAAAATTTAATAATGGCCTAAACACATAGTTAATCATTCACACACAAATAGATGAAATTCAATAATGTGATTCATTCACCACAAAGCGGAGATGTATAAAATGCAGAGCCTTCCCTTCCCCCACAAGCAAATGAAATACACAGAGCACAGGCCTCACACACAGTCCATGGACTTGAAAAATATGCTTGTTGTATCCATCCCCCACACCGATTAGACAGGAAACAAATGCATACAGTTTGCCACTCCCTAGAGTGCAGATATAGAGAACTATCCACATAAATAGTCCAACATTAAATACATTCCAACGTGCATGTTTGTTCAAAAAGGGTGCATGCACAGGCAGGCATCATAATCTTTCTTTAAAATTAAGTATTAATGTCTCCCACAGATTAGGTTTTTAATAATATTTATTTATTTATTAATGTCTTCTACAAAATGCCCACCACTCCCACAGATCAGATAATATAATAATGTCTGTATTAATGTCTTCTAAGAAATGCCTGCCACTCCCACAGGTCAGATTACAGGTTGCAGCATGTAGAACTTGCAAACATACAAATTAAAAATAAAAAGAACGAGGTATAAAATGTAGGTCAATTTTAATATGTCACAACTAAATGAAAACCGGTACTTGAATTGGACATTTTCCACAAGATTATCTCATGTAAATATCAGCATAATAACTAAAAATAACTTATTGTTCTTTATTGCAGCACTGAATATGTATCTATAAGGGCCTATTCACTAAACAGTTACATCATAGCATGCTGTTAACTGACTTATGAAATGTAAACCAAAATTGGTAAGTATGAAAAAAAAATTAGAAAATAATCTGAAAAAAAAAATTTATTTCCGAAAAAGCTATTATTATAAAATTGGCTAGGCAGCTGTTTAGAGAACAGACCCCATAATATAAGAGCTGATGGCTTGGATGCAGTTGACTTTATTTTCCCTATTAGACAAAGTTAAACTATATGGCCTATTATTAAAAGATTATTTAATATCAGCGGAAATTATTTTCTTGCATTATCAATAATTTATAAATGGTTGCATTGTTATAATGTGTTTTTATTTATGTATTTAAACATTGTTTTTCCTGAGCTTCGAACATAATATTTTTTTATCACACACAGGACTATCTCTCCAATTTGCTTTCGACTTATGTATCTTTCAAATTCTATTTTTACATTTTATAGAATGTAGAAGACTGTAGAGGGGAAAAGGGGAAAATTAACCCAATTATCTTACTTTTAAGCCTTTATGCAGTGAGATCCAAGGAAGTTAAGTTAAAATATAATATTACTGAAGGCTGAAAAAAACAAACCCTAATCTAGCCTCCATTTGTTCCCGCATACGGATATAATTACTTTAAGCTGATGTCACATGTTTAATGGATACACATGGTGTGCAAGGAAGACAGGGCCAGTGTACATTAGCATGCAAATATTCGTCAATACGATGTTAAGATATATATTATTATTATTATTATTTTATTATTTCTATAGAGCCAGCAAATTCCATAGCGCTGTACAATGGGTGGACTAACAGACAGGTAATTGTAACCAGACAAATAGACGCACAGGAACAGAGGGGTTGAGGGCCCTGCTCAATGACTTTACATGCTAGGGGGAGTGGGGTATAGTGACACAAAGGGTATAAGTAGGGGTAATTAAATAGGTTGTGTGGCAAAACTAGCCACTTATTTGTATGAGAGACTGGGTTGGTTCGACTATTTGAGGTTCCCGAACAGAATATGGATATATTGTTCATCAGTTGAACCAACCACCGAACGGGGAGACCACCCAAAGGAGTCGTGTGCCTCCAATTGACTATTGTAACACCAGAAAACCGCAAGGTTCTAAATGGTCGGATGGGTGGCCGCCATTTGTATGACCGAACACGTGGCGGCGGCCATCTTTGCGCACGAACGCACTGCGGTGTTTGGCCGTCAAGTGCGTGGAACTATAATTGGACACTCAACCGCGCGAACACTGCTGTACTTCCATCTTGTTCGTATGTTCATTTCCCTTCGTCTAGAAAGAGCGGCATTCAACTGAATTGAACAAATGAACACCAGGCACACGACTACCCAATTCATGAACAATTGTATTCTTTATTTTAATAGTGAAAACTCCCAAAAGAAGACCGGTCAAAACATACAACCACATGGAACTGTTTTGGGGCTTCGCCTCGTGGTTGACCGGTCAAACTTTCACTCAAATGGCGTTCCTGTTCTACCGAATGGATCTGAGCGGTATTTCAACAGATTGGGCACTCAGACCCCGCTATTCAGTGAAGGGAGTTCTGATTAATATTATGGGAGTTATGATGTTTTAAAATATTGTTTGATGTTCTGTACTTGTTTAGCTGATATGCTTTCCTGAAGAAGTGTGTTTCCAAAGATTTTTTGAAGGAGTGGAGACTGGGTGAAAGTCTAATGGAGAAAGGAAGGGAGTTCCACAGAAAAGATGCAGCCCTGGAGAAGTCTTGGAGGCGAGCATCAGTTGTGGGAGTACGGACAGAGGATAGGTGTAGGTCTTCAGCAGAGCGCAGGGGCCTCGACGGGACATATTTGTGTATTAGGGAGGATCCTGTAGACTGTAAGCTCGTTTGAGCAGGGTCCTCTTCAACCTATCGTTCCTGTAAGTTTTCTTGTAATTGTCCCATTTATAGTTAAATCCCCCCTCTCATAATATTGTAAAGCGCTACGGAATCTGTTGGCGCTATATAAATGGCAATAATAATAATAATAATAATAATAGGTAGGTTGGAGCAGCATTGTGTAGGGACTTGTAAGCAAGCACCAGAATCTTAAATTGAGCCCTATATCTAACTGGAAGCCAATGTAGGGACTGACAGAGGGGGGAGGCGTGGGAGGTGCAGGAAGACAGGAAAATGAGCCTCGCCACCTCATTCGTTATAGATTGCAGCGGTGCAATCGGGGAACACGTAAGACAGCTGAGAAGGGGATTGCAGTAGTCAAGGTGAGAAAGAACAACGGCATGGACCACCACCTTAACTGCCTCTGGTGTTAAATAAGGGCGGATGCGAGCTATGTTTTTGAGATAGAAGTGGCAGGATTTGGCAATCGACTGGACATGAGTGGTGAAGGAGAGGTCAGAGTCAAAGAGAACATCTAGGCAGCGAGTCTGCGAGGTAGAGGTGATGGTGGCGCCGTTGACTTGGAGGCAGACAGACACAGGAGTAGCAACACGTGAGGGAGGAAACACCAGAAGTTCTGTTTTGGACAGGTTGAGTTTAAGGAAGTGGGCAGCCATCCAGTTGGAAATCGCAGAGAGGCTGTCAGAGACATGAGTCAAGATGGCCATAGAGAGATCTGGAAAGGACAGGTAGATTTGTGTATCATCTGCAAATAAATGATAATGGAATCCAAAGGAGCTGATGAGTTTACCAAGGCAGGCAGTATATATAGAGAACAGTAGGGGACCAAGGACAGAACCTTGGGGAACACAAACAGAGAGGGTTTGGGAAGAAGAGGCAGAGCCAGAGAAAGAAACACTGGAAAAGCGTTGGGAGAGGTTGGAGGAGCACCAGGAGAGAGCAGTATCCCGTAGACCGAGAATACGGAAAATGAGAAGAAGCTGTTGATGATCAACAGTGTTAAAGGCAGCAGAAATATCAAGGAGAATTAGGAGAGAGTAATAGCCACAAGATTTAGCAGGGATTAAATCGTTGAATACTCTGGTTACCGCTGTTTCAACAGTGATGAGCGCGGAATCTTATAGCAAATAGAAATCAAATAGTAAATAATAATATTTATAACTTACAACATATAACATATACATTCGGACGGATTCTGGACCAATCTAAAGAGACAATAAAAAAAGGGATAAAAAAGAAAGATGATTTCATCTTTATATAGTCAGAGAATTATTGCCCCTTTGTAATTAATTAGGTGGAAGGGTATTATAGGTGGCCCCCAGGGGGAGCCTTTCATGAAGTTAAGGTAATTCACAGGATGATAAATTCTATTATATTGAATCCAGGGATCCCATGTTTTATTGTTTACATCTAATGTCTTAGCTTCTTTATCAAAAACAAATCTCTCTGCCTCTCTCTGAAAGTTTATTTGAGTTTTCATTTCCGTCCATGATGGAGAAGAGATATTTCTCTAATGTCTAGCTAGACACATTTTTGCTGCTGCAACGATATTAATTACACAGAAATGTTAACTTATTCATAGCCACTAAAAATTCACGTGAACTTTAACCTTAAATTTACTGTGGTATTTTATCCTTATAAATTAATATTTTCATATCAATGTTTTCGTGCATTTTTATTTTTAATTTTACCACACAAGCGGTGATAATGAAATTGCTGAACATCTCACCAGATGAAATACATTTTAATTTCTTTTCTCTAAGAAAAACTAAACCGTTGTAACTCTAGCTTTATCTAAATTAGGTTTAGCAGTATATTTAGTGTTTTTGTTGGACTGTAAATTACAGTCGATTTGTTCAGGCAGTGGTTACATTTATATATGTCTTTGTTTGTCAGGAAGGAGGCACACAGCTGCTGCTTTGTAAGCAGTTTCAGCAAGATCAGACTGGTTTTAACCGGCTCTGTCTAGTCTATGAGCTTTAGCACACATAACAGCAGCTACCCAGAATATCCGGAGCAGACTCTGGATCTACCGGAACTGGATATTTCCTGGACAAACAGCAATACTACCGTGCATTGCAGGATATGCTGTCATAATCTGCTAACCCTGTAATCCACTCCCCACTGATACAACAGCTACTTGTTCTGTATTAATTTTTTAACACGTTGGACCAGTTTTGGTTTTGTTTTCTCCGTTTTAAATCAATTATGAGTTACATCAGTAATGATATTCTTATATTCATATCTTAATAATCTATTAAATTGACTTTAGAGTCCCTTCATCCACCTCTTCAAAACATGCGGAATTATTCACTAAAGTCAGAATGCCCCTGGTCCAGATTAGCAAAAATAATCTGGGATAATCTGGACATTGTTCACAAGACTTATCAACGATCTGATTTTGCAAAGCAGTCTCTGAGTTACCCTGGTGTAATGAATATTTCAGTTTGTCCATACACAACGGAAAGGCTGAAATCTGGGACCAAATAGTTTATCAAATTAGATAAATATGCAACTGAATGAACAGAATTTACCGCTATCTGCCTGAAACTTGATTCAACCAAATGTACAGAAATCAGGTGAATCAAATATGTGGCATGACAATTTTAATACAACATTTGTTATTAGAATCATTTAGATCAGGGGTTCACAACCTGTGGTCTGTGTACTCCCAGGGATATAATTTAGTGCCCCTCTGGGTACGCAAAAAATGTCAGTATTGACTTTTCAGGTTGGGAACGCATCACAGGGTGAATGGATCCATCGAGTGGCCCAGGCACTCAGAGCCACCCTACAGACATATGTCTTCAGGGGCCCAGTTGTGCGCTGCAGCGCTTTAATAGCGAAACCAGGCCCCTTTTAGTCCGAAGGGAGAGCTGGGAGAAGTGGAAGTGTCAGAGTTGTATTTGTGTGTTTGTCAGTTTGTATCTGTATGTGTGCCAGAGTTTGTATCTGTGCATCTGTATGTGTATCATTGTATGTATCTCTGTCAGAGCCAGCGCCACCGTTAGGCGAACTAGGCATTCGCCTTTCTGGGGCCGCAGCGCTGGGAGAGCAGTTCTTGAGCCGCCCCCAGAGCCGGGCCGATTCTCAAGGCGCCCAAATGTGGGGGCGCCGAGAGGAGCCCTGTCACAGGGGGGCCAGGAGGTGGCCATCTGGCTACCTCAGGGTGCCCCCGAACCTGTATTAGGCAAGGCAAAGCAGGTACCTGTTTACCTTGATGGCAGGTGCCTGCTCTGCCAAAAAATACCGGTGCCCAGAGGAGAGGGGTTCTTGCAGCCTCTCACTCCTCCCTCGTACACCCTCTGTAATGCCGGGAGCTGGAATATGACGTTATTCCGGCCCGGCATACTAAACGGTGCGCTGGAGGAGTGAGGAGCTGCTCCACACTGGACCCCAGGGAGGTGAGTGTTTGACTGTGTGTATGTATGTCAGTGAGTGCTTGTGTGTCTGTCTGTCAGTAAGTGTCTGTGTGTGTGTGTGTCTGTCAGTGAGTGAGTGTATGTATGTCAGTGAGTGTTTGTGTGTCTGTCTGTCAGTGAGTGAGTGTATGTATGTCAGTGAGTGTTTGTGTGTCTGTCTGTCAATGAGTGAGTGTATGTATGTCAGTGAGTGAGTGTATGTGTGTGTCAGTGAGTGTATTTATGTCAGTGAGATTCTGTCTGTGTGTGTTTGTGTGTCTGTCAATGAGTGAGTGTATGTATGTCAGTTAGTGTGTGTCTGTCAGTGAGTGTGTGTCTGTCAGTGAGTGTGTGTATGTCAGTGAGTGTCTGTGTCTGTCAGTGAGTAAGTGTATGTCTGTGTCTGTCAGTGAGTAAGTGTATGTATGTCAGTGAGTGTCTGTGTGTGTGTCTGTCAGTGAGTAAGTGTATGTATGTCAGTGAGTGTCTGTCTGTCAGTGAGTGTGTGTGTCTGTCAGTGAGTGTGTATGTCCGTGTGTCTGTCAGTGAGTGTCTGTCAGTGTGTCTGTCAGTGAGTAAGTGACATGAGGGGGCGGCAAAATTTATCATTGCCTAGGGCGGCAGAAATCCTTGCACCGACCCTGATGTGTGTGTGTGTGTGTGTCAGTGAGTGTGTGTTTGTGTGTCTATAAGTGAGAGTGTGTCTGTCAGTGAGTTAGTACATGAGGGGGCGGCAAAATTTATCATTGCCTAGGGCGGCAGAAATCCTTGCACCGACCCTGATGTGTGTGTGTCTCAGTGAGTGTGTGTTTGTGTGTCTGTCAGTAAGTGAGTGTATGTCTGTCAGTAAGTGTCTGTGTGTGTGTGTCTGTCAGTGAGTGAGTGTATGAATGTCAGTGAGTGTCTGTGTGTGTGTGTGTGTCAGTGAGTGAGTGTATGTATGTCAGTGAGTGTGTGTGTATCTGTCAGTGAGTGAGTCTGTCTGCCTGCCTGTCAGTGAGTGTCTGTCAGTGAGTAAGTGTATGTATATCAGTGTCTGTGTCTGTCAGTGAGTGAGTGTATGTCTGTCAGTGAGTATCCGTGTGTGTCTGTCAGTCAGTGAGTGTGATGAGGGGGCGGCAAAACTGATCATTGCCTAAGGCGGCAGAAATCCTTGCACCGACCCTGATCTCTGTATGTGTATCAGCATGTGTGTCAGTGTTTTTTCATCTGTCTATCTGCATGTGTGCCAGTGATTGTATCCAGAGGCGTAACTAGAAACCACGGGGCCCCAGTGCAAAAATTGCCCTGGGGCCTTCCCCATATGTCTAATTCCCCCCCCCCCAGCCCATCCATGTGTCACACTCATGCCCCTCATTCATACAAACACACACTGACATACTTGCAGATGCAC